TTGCAAGAGCAGGCTTATTGTGAAGGTGAGTTTGGCCTCTTGTTGCTCCCTGTCCTTCTGCAAGGACACAGCAAGAAGGTCCTAGCCAGTTGCTGGCACTTTGATATTGGACTTCCCAGGCTGAAAAACTGTGAGAAATACGCTTCTTTTCTTTATAAATTACCTATACTCTGGTATTGTGTTATGGAAACACAAAATAGATTCAGAAAGTTTTGCTAACACTTTCAGTAGGTTCTGAAATAGAATTCACTCCTACTCTGAGCTCACCATTTATAATATTTTGAGATGTCTCTAAATCCATTCTTATTGGGTCTACCCACAAGATTGGGTAATAACATGCACTGTTATTAGCATAAGATTTCTCTGGCCTTAAAAAAAAAATCTCATTACTGGGCTGGGGTTGTAGCTCAGTGGTAGTGTGCTTGCCTCGCATGTGTGAGGCCCTAGGTTTGATCTTCAGCAACACAAAAAAAAGTAAATAAATAAAAATAAAGATATTGTGTCCATCTACAACTAAAAAAAAAATTTTTTTTAAATCTTACTGCCTTCTTGTAGAACACGGAAACAAAATCTCATTTCATTCTTTCATTGAGGGATTAAGAGAAAAAAAAAAGCATTGTTTTTGTTTTGTTTTTTTGTTTTTGTTTTTGTTTGGTTTTTAACCAGGGATTGAACTCAGGGACACTCAACCACTGAGCCACATCCCCAGCCCTATTTTGTATTTTATTTAGAGACAGGGTGTCACTGAGTTGCTTAGCACCTGTCCCTTGCTGAGGCTGGCTTTGAACTCAAGATCCTCCTGTCTCAGCCTCCAGAGCTGCTGAGATTACAGATGTGCGCAGCATTGTTCTTTAAGGCTCTGATTCCCTTACTTTTAAATGCCTGCCCTCGACTTCTAATACTAAAGAAGAGTTTACAGTTTTTTGTTTGTGTCTTATGGACTTCAGATTTGACATAGTACATGTAACCTCTTGTACAACTCAACACCACTTTTCCTGTACTCTTTCTTTCTTCATAAACAATCTCTTAGATCCCAAATACATGTCATGAGCAAAAGAATCTAACTTAAGGGTCTTGCTTTTATTTCCTCATCTGTCAAATGGAGGTGATACTGTTTACCATGGGATATATATTTGCTATGAAAATTAAATGGAAAAACAAGTGGAGTGAACTAAATGCTTGTTTGGTATTAATAATCCACATAACTCGTTTAGTTAAACGCATCTTCAGGTTGAGGGGGAAACATCCTGGTAATATATGAGCTGGTGTTCAGAAATGGAGAATTAAGCCGTGGCCTTGTCTGTATGGTGCTAAGAGGCCCTGGCCTGCCACTTACCTCCCTGGGTACTCAAGAGTGCTTACGTCATCTCCAGAATCCACTCATTCTGTGAAAACTGGGGGTTCTTTGGGAAGATGGAGGGGAAGAAGGAGGTCACTTGAGGAGATCAGAAGCAGGAGGCAGGGGCAGTTTTCTTCCCTGGACAAGAGAGCTCAGGCAGCACCATGTAGTAAACTGCTCACTTAATGGGCACCAAAGGAAGGAGTGACCTGCAGTCAGGGGAGAGTGGCTCTCTAAAGGCCGGCGCCTGGGTCAGGTGGTGTAACCAGAAGGAGGGGGGATAAAAACAACCAGTGTCCAGTGATTGCTGTTTATAGCTGGGTTCAGGTTCTTTCCATAAAGTCTTTAAGCCACACAGAGGAGAAGCCCTGGGAGTCCTCTCTGGACTATTCCTATTTGTTCCTCTCCTTGTCTCATGAGGCTCTGATCTCTGGCATATCTCAAAATGCTTCTTTTTCACTGTTTGCATCAGTGTCAGGTTTCAAGGTTGGAAAAATCATCCCTCTAAAAAAGTATCTAAAATTGTCCTCAAGATTCCATTGTCTCCCCTGCCCCTGTCCCCACCCCTCATACTGAAGATTGAATCCAGGGATGCTTTACCTCTGAGCTACAGCACAAGCCCGTTTCATTATCTTATTTGTTTGTTTGTGTGTGTGTTTTTATTTTAGTATAGATGGACACAATACCTTTGTTTTATTTATTTATTTTTATTTACTGCTGAGGATCGAACCCAGTGCCTCCCACATGCTAGACAGGTGCGCTATTACTGAGCTACAACCCCAGCCCCTCATTTTGTATTTTGAGACAGGGTCTCACTTAGTTGCTTAGGACCACATTAGTTGCTGAGGCTGGCCTGACGCTTGCGATCCTCCTGCCTTGGACTCCCCAGTTGCTAGAATTATAGGTGTGTGTTACCACATTGGCTTTGCCTTTTCTTCAGATTTAAACCTGGACAACTACCTGCTAGCCCCTTGTATTGTAATATGAATGCACTAAATTTGTTATCTTTGTTTTGTATATCAGGGTTAATTTATTTTCCCAGTGCTCCTTATTCAACTTTGCTTATATCTCTTCCTTCTCAGACCTTTTATTCCTCTTCCTTATCCAGAAAGATACTTGAGCTTAAGAAAAAAAGAGGAATTTTTTCAGATATTATTATATATAAACCTATATAAATAATATCCTCTACTTCATATATTTTTATACACTGATTTTGAGGTACAGGATATAATACATTACCTGTTTAAATCAGGTAGGGCTTTTTTGCATTATTATCACATGATTTTTCATTGTCAAAGAATATCATATATGCATTTTAAAACATGTACATGTTCCTTCGTATGAATCTTATCTACTTTATTGTTAGGCTTTTTCTCCAAAACCTCAAAGAAAAATAACTTTTCAAATAAAGAGTTTATTGTTTCATGTATCTCATAAGTTTGTTATGTATAAATTACCCACTCCATGTTTTTAACAAACCAAACACACAAATTTCCTTCCTCCATCTTGTAATTGTACTTTTTAGCATTTTTGGATTTTCTAGGATGGAGAGCCCCATGAACCTTGGGAGCACTCTTCCCACGTCACTCTCAGGATCCAATTCTACACACACGGCTTACAGATGTGGACCGAGTCCTGCACATAACCTGGGTGGTGCTTGTTTCTGGGAGGTGTTTAATCAGGGCATGGGAGTGTACATGGAACATCAGTGACTGAAGGTATGTAGTCAGGTGACGCACACTTCAGTGAGTGACAGACTGCACATGTGACTGTGGTCCCGTGAGATTACTGTGGAACTGAAAGGTTCCTATTGCCTAGTGATGCCATCAGGCAATGCATTGTGTGCTCTGGGGACTGCTGGTATACATAAGCCTGGGCCATCAGTCATGTAAAAATATGGCATATGCCATTATGTACAGCACATAATATTTGACAGTAGACATAGTTATGTTACTGGTTTATATTTTTTTAACTTTATTTTATTTATTGTCTGTGATGCTGAGGATCCAACCCAGTGTCTCACACATACTAGGCAAGCGCTCTATCACTCAGCCACAACCCCAGCCCTCTGGTTTATTACATTTACTATGCTTTTTAGCATTATTTTAGAGTCTACTCCTACTTACTAGAAGTTTACCTTAAGACAACCTGCCGTGTGGTGCTGGCAGCAGCCTCACCATCTCTTGTTTACATTCGGTTGTATCAGGAGGCCACTCAGAGTGGTTGACTAGACCATCTAGCTTTGTGCTAGTACACTCTGTAGTCAGGCATGGTGGGGCACACCTGTAATCCCAGTGAATCAGGAGGCTGAGGCAAGAGGATTGTTAAATTGAAGGCTAGCCTCAGGGGGTTAGCAACGCTTTTAGCAATTTAGGGAGATCCTGCTTCAAAATAAAAAGGACTTGGGATATAGCTCAGTGGTAAATAGCCCCTGGGTTCAATCCCCAGTACCAAAAAATAAATAAATAACAATAACAACAACAACAACATTCCATGATGTCCTTACAATGACAAAATTGTCTAATGCCACATTTCTCAGCGCACATTCCCATCATTAAGCTATGCATGCCTGTAGTGTTTTTTGACTGCTACAAAATCAAAGTTTTGCTATATTTTAGATGTTGCCTGCTGAAAACTCGGTTCTTATCCCCAGTGCCAATCCAATAATGAGGACTCAGTTTGGGGAAAAAGAAGGTTTATTGCTTTGCTAGCAAAGGAGAAATACAGGGGACTCCTATCCCAAAAGCTGTGATTCTTCCCATCAGCAGCAAAAAGGGGCTTTTAAAGAGGTGACTCAAAGGCTACATTCCTCAGGTTCTGTGTTGGAATTGTAATTCACTTGTTAATTTGGGAGATTGTCATTTCTGAGATCTTCTGATGCCATCCCCAAAGTCTGGATTATTTCATTCCTATGGTGGGTGTGTGCTCAGGGACAGATAACTCTGCCTAGGATGGGGAAGTAAGGTAATCTGTTTCCCCTGAGATTAGGAATAGGGAGAGAAAAGGAAAAGAAACACGTCCATTTTAAAACTCAGTTGCAGGACTGGGGTTGTGGCTCAGTGATAGAGCCCTCGCCTTGCACGCACAAGGCCCTGGGTACTACATTAAAAATAAATAAGTGAAATAAAGGTATTGTGTCCAACCACAACCAAAAAATAAATATTAAAAAAAAAAAGATAAGTTTAAATAAATAATTAAATAAAAATCAGATGCAAGGGCTGTATTCCAAGCATGAAGTGGACCTCTGTTACCTTGGAACCTTAGAATTGGGTTTTAACTTCTGGTTTCATATTTGTTGCAACTTGCATTGTAGGAAAGCACTGACCCACAAGCCAAGAGACCAGGCTATGATTTTGTTTTTGCCATTGACTACCCTGGGTAACCTTGACCTACAGTTTCCTCTAATCTAGAATGAGAGACAGCATAGTCCAAGGACTGCCTCCAGTTGAAAACCTCCCCGTGTGCTGAGGAAGGACTTCCCAGCAGATGCTGCTGTCAGGCTGCAGGTTATCTGCAGGTTATCAAGTGCTTTGATCCTCTGAAATTTTTTTCTCACATGATACCTGCTCCTTGAACTCTATTGAGATAACTTCTTGGAGGGGTAGCATAAGTGGTTCCAGGACTAGCCTCTCCCACCAGCTCTGTGTCCTCTATATTTCAGATGCCTGAGTCAGATGAACACCAAGATGTGTGCGGCCCTGAGGATTCCAAGGGGAGCTTGGAAAGTCCCAAACAGGGCAACAGTAAACTGAAGCTCAAGAGTCGTCTGTCAGGTAAGTGTCAACTCTGCCTGCTGAGGCCTGCCCCAAGATGAGCTTTCCGCCTCGGGAGTGGGGAGATAATGCCATTAACGGAATGAGCACTTTTATTCCTTAACCTCAAAATTGTTTTTCCTTAGATGATGCATGCTCCTGGCATAACAGCGCCATTAAGCCTGGCTGCCCACGTAAATGTTTTTATCTGAGTCATAACAAAGTGAATGTCAACATTGCTGTGTGTCTCCACCAAAATGTAAATTTGTTTGGTTCATTTATTTCTGTAGGATTTCAGGTGACCCCTTCAGTGTGGAACACCCCTGATGGTCCATCTTCCCCACCCTCAGCCAACCAGAAAAAGGGACAAAGAGCCATTTATCTAATATCAAATTTGCATCTCAACTAATCAAGAACAAATGGGATGGAATTTCAGCTTTTCAAACAAATAGATTCTGTATTCTCTACTTCCTGGGCATTTCCTTAGAGTCGCTGGCCTGTGCCCTGAATGCTAAAAGCGGAGGCCAAATGCAGGAGACACAGGATGACTTTCATGGGTCTCAGGCACTTTTGCCCTGATGGGGCATTTCTTCCACCAAAAAATAAGAATTATATTTTATACGTGTGTTGGTATACAGATACAGTCCGGGTTCATGTAAATCTATTTGTTGTGATTATGTTCGATTTTTTTCTGCATTTAAAAAGTAATTAAAACATTCCTGTGGGTCCTTGAAAGTGTCATGGGCCTCTGGCACTGTATTTTGTGGCCTAATGGAGAAGTCAATCCTGGCTGCCCACCCATGACAGTCATCTGGGATGACTTTTCTTTTTTTCTTTCCTGGAAGGAAAATAAAAAGGAAGACACAGAGACGAGGTGCAGAGGCAGGAAAGTGACTACCCCTACATGTTCCTCTTTATTTTTACTTTTTTTGGAGGGGGAAAGTTAACAGAGAATTGAACCCAGGGGTGCTCTACCTCTGAGCTACATCCCGGCCCTTTTTATTTTATTTTGAGACAAGGTCTCACCAAGCTTCCCAGGCTGGCCTTAAACTTGTGATCCTCCTGCCTTAGCCTCCATAGTCTCTGGGACTACAGGCTTGTTCCAACCCTCCTGGCTCTCAAAGCAAGAGCCGTGAGGCCTGGCAGCGCCAGGCTTACCCTTCAGCTCTTGAATTGCCTCACACCCTTAGGCTGATTTCTGAGCCTCCCCAAACTTCTACTCCCCACCTGAAATAAGAGAATAATACCCCGACTTTGAAAGGTTGGGCAGATGTGTGTTTTTAATGTACATGATTCATCTAGGGCAATGCATAGTGTGTTGTATCCAAAAACCATCCGCTTTGTCCTCCACCACCCAAATGGATAGAGGGGGCAGTAGCCAGGCTACCAGCCAAAGTCTGGTGCCACCTCCCTCCCTTCCCTCCTCCCTCCCTGCCCGGCCTCCGCTGAGTCTATTCTCAGGCAAGATGGCAGGTATGGGACCATAGAATACATCACTTTTTCAACAAAGTAAACAAAATCAATTGTATTTGCCGCTCTGCAGACTTAGGTGGTGTTAGAACATTTGTGAGAAAAGAGACCCGTGAAGCCAGAGACTGATGAGGAGAACCAGTGCAGGTTCTCACCTGGAGGCAGCAGCCAACAAAACTGCCCCCCCCCCCCATCTCCAGTCCTGAGGAGTGGTTGAGAGAAACATTTAAATCCTGTTTGTGTTTGGGTGGGGAAGGCCCTGAGGTCGGCTCTCTGACACCTTATAAACAACCCCCAGGGAGGCTCACAGAGCTCTGAGGAAATACAGGGACCTTTGAAACCAACCTGGTCACATTCTTCATTTTATGGATGAGACCTGAGAAGTTAAGGGAATCCCAAAGGTCGCTCAGTCAAAGTCACTCTGGGAAAAGGAGCTGCCCCCATCCCTACCGCAGACATTTCTTCTTCCAACCCTTGAGTTTCCTGATCATGAAAGAATTCTGTCCCCTGTCTGGGATTTCCTAGATCCATCTACATAAGGAGTGGGATATAGCAGGGGCCGGGTGGGGGTGGGGTGGGGGGGGAGTGTCTGCTTCCGGATGTGTGATTTTATAATTCTGTTCATGCTAGTGTTAGTCAGCTTTGTTGCTGGGACAAAATACCTGAGAAAAGGAACTTAGGAGAGAAAAGATTTATTTTGGATCATGGTTTCAGAGGCTTCAGTCCGTGGTTGTCTGGCTCTGTGGCTTTGGGCCTGAGGTGAGCAGAACATCCTGACCAAAGGAAAGGGCGTTATGGAGTAACACCTCATGGCAGTCAGGAACCAGAGGAGGGAGAAGGAGGGCTCAGGGTCAAATGTACTCCCCAAGAACGTACACCCAATGACTTACTTCTTCCATTCAGCTATGATTAATCTGATGAAATCAGAGCTCTCCTATCCAATCATTTCCCAAAAGATCCACCTCTGGACATTGCTGCATTGGGGACCAAGCCTCCAACACATGAGCCACGAGGGGACATTCCAGATAGACTGTAGCAATACTGTAAATTTGGAATGAGCAGCACGTCCAGCTGAGCATTAAATCCAGAACTGGCCACTGTTTGTCATGAAGGACTGCCCCCCCCCCCCCCCCCCCCCCGTCTCTTCCCGTGTCCTTCTGGGGACATCCAAGGCTGTGACATGGAAATGCAGAACAGGGAGAAACACATACACATTATCCAGAACTGTATTCAGTTCCCAGCTATGCCACTTCTGGTGGGACAAATGACCTGGGACAAGTGACTTCTCTGGGCCTCAGTTTCTTCTCTGTCAAGTGAGGGTTATAATATACACCTATCCTGACAGTACTTGTGAGACGCTTCCAAGGGCCAAGTCTGGTTGACAGATCCAGTCAAGAGTATGCATGTGGCACTGCCATTCTGAGTGTGGCAACTGCGCCCTTGCCTCGTGGTGGCTGCCACCCTTATTACCCTCATCATCTTTAATACCGGGCTCATTCTCATCATTTTCATCTGGATCCTTCTCGCCTATTTCCCTCTCAGAGAGAGACCTGCTTGAATGGATTCAGGCAGGAAACTTCCCAGGAATGCCTGGTCCCAGGGTAGGCTGCCCACAGGTACACAGAGCAGTGGACACCATCAGCCACTCACCAGGCCAAAGACAGGATCTGTCCAGGTGGTGGCGCTGTGGGGAGACATCAGAAGACACAGATGAAGGGGCGCCAGGACTCTGGCAGGATTTGAAAGAGAGATTTTAGGGACAATGGGGGAGAATGTATTAGAGAAGTTTTGGCCACTGTTTTTATTCCTCAGCCATTTGAAAGAGCCAAGATGAACTGACAGCAACAATGATTCAGGGCAGCAGAGCTCATCAGAGGGATTAGGAGAAAAGAGGCCATAGAATCCGGGGGTGGGAGGCAAGGGGGCAGGCGAAGGAAGGTGGGAAAAACTGCATGTGACATCTGTGTGTCCCAGTCCAGAAAGGAGGGGGAAGAGGACAAATCCTTTCCTTCGACAGTCATCAGCACAGAGCAGGGTAGTAGGAGATAAGACTGGAAGTGTAATCTGGAGACATGCTGAAGAGGCTTAAAGAACCGGGCCTCGTTCAGTCCTGTGAAATCCATTCATTGTAATGACTTATTTGCATACAGATTTCCATGAGATCAGCTCCTAGTTTGTACTGTGAACCTGGATGTTGATTTCATATTTTCTTAAATGAGTCACTCTGGCATTGCCCTAGTCAGTGTTTTATCTCTGGACACTACAATGTGGTTTCTGTCCTGTTAGTGACAAGAGCCTCCCTGTCAGCTCAAGGGGAATTTTTTTCTAATAAATCTTTTTCAGATGAACAAGCATGCCAAGAGAGATTAATCGGGTCATGAATTATTAACTTATAAACTATTAAAGAGTATCTGTAAGGAGGTTCCAGCCATTTCCACGAGGGTTTTGCCCAGTCTGACTAGAGCAGCAGCGTCTCTCCTTTCAGGGAGAATTTTTCTGATATTTGCACCTGAGTTTTTCCTTACTTCATGCTTCCTTTTTGTCTGCAGGGTTCCCCTTTAATATTGGTACTTTCAATTTATCTATGTTAATCCCTTAGGTTTGTGATCTTTTCAAATGCAAAATTTTCCTTGGTTGCAAAGGAATTTCAGATGTTTAAAAAAACCTACTTCACAGAGTTAGTATTTAGCTTTTGAAAAGCCAAGGCATTAGTGATATCCATTATAATATAACTGTATCAGCACTTTTCTAACTTTTTATCACTATTAACAACTCATCAATATATTCTTTTTCAAAGTACCAAATTACCTTGCTTTATTCTATGAAAAATTTTCAGAGAAAGTTTTAGGTAAATAGAAATTTTAGGTCATCAAATGAATCATCACATAGTACAGAAGAACTTGATATTCTAAATTATCTATATGTCAAGATATATACACACCATACATACACATACATACATGAATACATATATACTGTATATAGTAAAAACATTGCAATAATATTATAGCTGTATTCATATTTAAATGACCCATCATTTAAGATTAAAATCTCTTCCATTATCTTTCTTTTTTTAAATTTCTGGTTATAGGTGGACACAATATCTTTATTTATGTGGTGCTGAGGATCAAACCCAGTGCCCCACACATGTTAGGCTAGTGCTCTACCTCTGAGCCACAACCCCAGCTCTCTTTCATTATATTATTTTGAAACAACATACAATGTAAATTGGAAACTAATAACGCTGCCTTTCAAAATCATTAATTTCTTAAACAGGACATTAAAGTTTTAGCCATAAAGGTGAAAAATGGTACATTGTCATGTACTACGTGACATTTCTGTGCCCAGTGGCCCATGTATATGGCTATGGTCCCATAAAACTGTATCACCATTTGACCTTGTAGCCATCTTAGTTGGTGTAAGTACACTCTATGGCAGTCTCACAACAAAGTCACCTAACAGTGTATTTCTCAAGACATATACCTGTCATGAAGTGATGTATGATCATCTTGTACTGAATTAAAATTATGAACTCTGATTCATCAAAAAATACCACTAAGGTAATGAAAAGGCTGGTCACAGACATGGAGACAATATTTACAATACATTGATCCCACAAAGGATTCATAATTTAAGATATATTAAAACTAAGTAAAAACTATGACTCCACAAGAAAATGACAGAAATCCAATAAAAGAATGGGCAGAATGGGCTGGGGATGTGGCTCAAGCAGTAGCGCGCTCGCTCGACATGCGTTCGGACCGGGTTCAATCCTCAGCACCACATACAAAGATGTTGTGTCCACCAAAAACTGAAAAATAAAAAAAAAAAATTTAAAAGAATCGGCAGAAGCCTCCCACAGGCACTTTACAAAAGAAAAACAGCCAATAAATACATGAAAAAGAAACTTGGTCACCTGTGAAATGCAAATTAAAAACCACAGTGAGATACCATTGTGTACCCACCAGAATGATTGACATCAAAGACTGACACTATCAAAGACTGGCCATGAGGACATGGAGAAGCTAGAATTTATACATTGATTGCTGGTGATACAACACTAGCAAAGGTGAACAGATGCCTGTACCCAGCACCGCCACTCCTACATGCCACCCAACAGAAATGACTTGTGCAAGAGATGTGTATGAGAATATTCAGTAATGGTATACCTAGATCAGAGGTCAGCGAACTACCTCCCACGGCTATTATTTATATGGCTAAGAGCTAGAAATGCTTTCCACACTTTGAGTGGACTATTAAGAATGTGTGACAAAGACCATTCATAGCCCACAAAGCTAAGAGATGTACTATCTGGCCCTTACCAAAAAAAATTTGCTGACCCTTATTCTAGTTCTAAAACTGGATACAAGGCAAATATCCATCAACAATAGAATAAGTAAATAAATAGTGGTATGTTTATGTGATGAAATATTATGCAGAATAGGAACAAACAAGCTACTGGCATACAGACAACAGGAGTAACTCTCACAATGTTAGGAACAATGAGCCAGACACAGAAAGTACATATTGTACACATTCATTTATATAAAGGTCAAGAACAGGCCAAAATCGCCTGTGATGTCAAAGTCCAGATCATGGTCATTGCTGGGGGAGGGGTGGGCAGTGGCATGATGGGTAACCCTGAGGTTCTGGTTAACTTTCTGTTTCTTGACCTGGGGGTGTTGGTCACTGGTACGTCCACTTTGTAAAACTTCATGGAACTGTCGGTTAGGATTTATAAGTCTTACTTGCTAATAAAAATTTTATTTAAAAAGTTGTGCTACATGTAGGTTAAAAAGTATCTGCCCCGTGATGGAACTGTACCAACCACAGAGTTCTGCTGCTCCACCACTGGACGCAGAAAAATGTCAGGCCTTCTCCATGACATTCCTTGCTTTTCCACCACACCTATATCTGACTTGGATCAAACATATCCATGGCCTCTTATCCAGTCTGGTCACTTAACTGGCAGTTTCTTCATAACCTGGCATTAATAGGCCTTACTACACAACAAGCTTATGCAGAACTTGGTCTGGGACTCTGTGGGCTTGGTACTTTGGGTATCTTGGACACCAGGCCTTCTGAAACTGTGTGTATGGCATAAACACTACAAGTTTATGTCTGTGGGTACTTCTTATCCCATATCAAGCCATATTTCCCACCCCCTCTATTTTCCAAGGGGGTGTCCACCGTCTGGAGTCAGTGGAAGAATATAATGAGCTGATGGTGCGCCACGGAGACCCCCGGGCCAGGATGCTGGAGGTCTCCCGAGATGGCCGGAAGCACTCCCTGCCCCAGCTACTGGACTCCGGAGCATCGCAGGTCAGTCCTGGGCCACGGGGTGTCTCACTCAGTCACAGCCACAGTTGCTTAGTTAGAAAGCAGGGTTACCAGCCTCTGGGTCCCCAGGCTTTCTTCTTCTTCTCCTAACACATGGTCTACTGTGTGAAGAAGAACCTTCCATCTGTGTGGGCCATGAGCATCTGGGGCCAGAGAGATAGTGGAGACAGTAGAGAGAGGGAGGTCCACCCAGAGAGACTGGAAGGAAGAACCCTAATAGGTGAAAAAAGTTAGAAAAGAAAGAGAACCTCCATTGCATCTCAGCCTCTCATTCCCCCTGCTGCTGTGGATTTTGGAACTAAAAGTCACTTTCAACTGCCAGGAGACAATGGCGTCTCACAGTCTGTGGTGAACCACCATCGCTTATTTAATAGGCGCATCGGGTGTCAGCATAACAACTGTGGGGCTGGGGTCTGCTCGAGCCTGTGCCATGCCTGGGGCCTACCTACTCCATGGTGACAACTCACACAGCCAGGGTCAGGACGGGCTGCCCAGAGCGGTGAAGTAGCTGGTTGTTAATATTCCAAGCCTGTCCCCTCAGAGCACTGGGCTCCGTGACCCTGTGTGGGGGCTCCTCCCCAACTGTAGTATCCCCAACCTACTAGAAACTGGGTAGACGGTCTCACAGCTGAGTTGGCGGCAGGCTCAGTTTCTAGGGAACTTGTGGGGTTCTTTGAGTCCTGGTCCCATGGGCCAGAGGACAGTAATGGAGACATTGGCATTGTATCCCCAGGCCGACGATGAAGCAGAGCTGGAGGAGGAGGGATAGCACCAAGGACACCCTAAGTGCCTAGAGACTCGCAGATGGTATTCTTACGGTCTTGGATCAGGTGTTCTAGGTTGAGCCCTTACTTTTTGTGTGTTATGACCATTTTGCAGCTGTGACAACTGAATCTCAAAGAGGTTAATTATTTCACTCAAGGTGATTTGCCAGAGTCTCTTTTGTTTAAAAGTGCATGAATACAGGTGGCTATATGTCAGGGTCAAGTATTTCTCTTGCTTCTATTGCTTTTTACCTGAACCAGGAAAAAAATAGAAGTGTTCATGTTTCAGAGCCAGTTACTGATCACGGTCTTTTGTATTGCATTCACCCAAAGGGGAGTGAGGCACTGAGAAAGAGCAGCAAGAAAGAATTGCATAGAGCTGAGCATTGTGGCACACACTTGTAATCCCAGCAGCTCGGGAGGCAGAGGAAGGAAGATTGCTAGTTCAAAGCCAGCCTCAGCAACTTATTGAGGCCCTAAGCAACTCAGCAAGACCCTGTCTCTAAATAAAATATTTTAAAAGCCTGGGGAGGGCTGGGGTTGTGGCTCAATGGTTAAGCACCTCTGGGTTCAATCCCCAGTACCAAAAAAAAAGAATTGCGTAGGATCTGTTAAAGCTCATCCAGACCTACAACTAGGGACAGACGGGTCTGTGGCCTGGTCAGAATGATCCCATCAGACCCACTGAGAAAGAGAAAGACCAGAAAGCGGTAGGAGAGAAACAGGTCAGGCTCTTTTAGTGTGGAAGATGAGAGAAGGTTACTACCATCAGGGTCACAGATCTAGCATTAAGGTGGTAATTTCATAACTGACTTGTTAGGCAACCTGACCAGATTTATAGTCCAAGAAAGGTTCATTTCTAATCGATCTCCAGAAATCAGGAAACTTGTGCTAGTAAAGAAAGAAAAGAATTTTTCCTTCTTCAGATGTCCTTTCTCTTGATTCCTTATTTTCTGCCCGCAGGATTCACCTTTCTTTTTATTCGGTTTTCTCCCTCCACTAAAAAGTATCGTTACCTGGAGTTGAGTTATCCAATGACACTGTCCACATGGTTGGAAGTGCTTTGTATCTGTACTGTCCAAGATGGTAGCCACGTGTGACTACTGAGCACATGAAAAGTGGCTAGTGAGACCAGGGAGTGAATTTTTAATCTTAGCTCACTTTATTTTAAATATAGACAGCCAGTGGTGGCAGGTGATGACCATATTAGGCAACACAGGTCTTGAAAATGGAAGGGGACCCCTGAAACTCTTGGAGAGACCCATGAAGTGGGCAGGCTTTGATTCTCACTGGTTCCCAAAGGGAAATGGAAGAAGGTAGTGCTGAAGATTGGTCATCAGCAGAAGAATTCCCTGGTCAGGTCACACGGAGATCTCTTTATTTGAGGGTTGGAAGCCAATAGGCTGTATCTGGTGCCTCTGCAATGGTTTCAGTAAAAGGGTAGTGACCTTGCCAAGCCCACCACATCGTTTATTTAATGAGCCCAAGTCTGGGAGGCCCACATTACTGGCAGGTATTCTGTAAAACTACACAGTATAATTTTCTAAGCTGCCAGGAATACAAAAATATTATTGGGGGACATCTCATTTCTATCTTGGAGGGTAGCATATGCGAATGAAGGATAAAAAGCTATTTTGTGATATCTCTTTTCTCATTAAATATGAAATGATTTTTGGGGGCTTGTGCTAGAATATCTGGGTCATTTAAAGCATTTATTATTTTAAGAAGAATAACAAGGAGCTAGAGTGCAAGAGTGTGTTAGCCAGAGTCACTTAATCTCTTGTTTATATTGTAAATCGTGCACCTGGCTAACACACGGGAATATCATGGGTGAGGGACATGAAAAGGGGATTGAGATTTGAGCTGCTGAGTGCCAGGAAGGGAAAGTGGGGCTTATGGGAAAATATCTTATTTTCCAAATGTGAGGGATTAGATCTTAAGTGGCTGCCGTCTCTCCGCGGGATGTTTTATGTGGAATAAGTTGTCTGGGTTTGTGGTTTGCGCTTTATAAGAAACAAGGGCTTGCTGAGTTTTTGAATGAGTGAATTAAAATGGTGAGAGACTTTCTAACCATGACTGTGAAGTCGGGATTCAGAAGGGGGGATTTCTGAGGAGGGACTGACCCTGGGCAGTCATCCTGTATCTTTGAGGCCTCTTGGTTCCTAGTTCCTGACTTCATTCCAACACTGCAGTCTGTGGAACGTGGCCAAGAAAGAACACAAGGTGCTCGTGGGCTCCAAGCAATTCTTTTTATTTTTTTCTTTTTAAATTTTTGGAGTTGTAGGACAGAATACCTTTATTTTGTTTGTTTATTTATATGTGGTACTGAGGATCGAACCCAGTGCCTCACACATGCTAGGTGAGCACTCTGCCACTGAGCTACAACTGTAGCATCTCTCTTTATGAGGGAGAACACCTGGCTGTCTGTTATGGCAGAGGTTTCTTTAAGCCACTGAACCAGGGGATGCACCCCAGGGAACTTGCTGTCCAACACAAAAGACAACTGAGATTTTCCAAGTTTTGGTGATATATTTGCATACCAGAACCCACAGCAGGATGAGTGAGATTATGTCTGGTTTTGTCATATGCTTTTAGGAATACCACATTGTGAAGAAATCCACCCGCTCCCTAAGCACCACCCATGTGGAATCTCCCTGGAGACTCATTCGCCCGTCTGTTATCTCCATCATAGGCCTGTACAAAGAAAAAGGCAAGGTGAGCTCTTCCCACAGTCTGTTTTGCCCTCTAGGTGGTACCATCTACTTCTTAAATGGCTAATTTTAATTTTATTTTTATTATTTTTATATGAAATTAAAAGTAACAAGTGTAAGGAAGGATAGACCACGTGGCCTTCATGTGGTTTCTCTGGCATTGTTTCCTGTGGACCTCAGAGTGTGAGACAGTCATACCCTCTTTGCCCTTGTGTTGTGAGGAGTCACCAGTGCCCAGCTGCTAGGGAAGAATCCAGGGTGGAATGAATGACCCCCAACCACTTTTGTTTGTGTGTTTTGAGAACTGAGTCCATGACCCCTAATTTTTACCTCCTTTGAAAGAAACGCAGAACCAGTTTTGCTTCAGGGAATACTTCCCATGTCCTTTCCAGTGAATTTCTTGGCATTACCACTATCAAGGAATTATATGAACAATTTAGTATTCAACAACTATCAAAATATCCACTTTGATGTTATATAAAGTGGAAACACTGAACCAAAAGGGAAAAAAAAGTATGGCCTTGCATAGTGTGAAATGACTCTCAAGCTATCCAGTTGATACATATGAAATTGGCTTTTTTTTTTGGGGGGGGGTACTGAGAATTGATCCCAGGGGTGTTTAACTACTTAGCCACATTCTTGGCCCTTTTTTATATTTTAGAAACAGGGTCTCACTCATTTGCTAAGTGCCTCAATAAGTTGCTGAGGCTGGCTTTGAACTCACAATCCTCCTGCCTTGGCCTCTCAAGCTGCGGAGATTACAGGCATGTGCCACCATGCCCAGTGAAACTGGCATTTTAGGAGGTCAAAAATTGTCAAATATTAGCAGGTTCATGTGTTTCAACCTATGATTTTCTCCCTTTAATGTAATGCATAGCTAGTGCAATGCAAACAGATATGAGAAGTGATATTTATAAATTCAGACTTGTCACTTGACATAGTGACAAGTCTGAATTTGTAAATTCAAACTTGAATTTACAGCTAATTGACTGGCTTAACACTGAGCCTGATTAGAAAGGACACCTCAGTTGAATACTAGGTAGGAGAGATGCCCTTGGTTAAGTACTGCAACAGGAAAGATGTCTTTAATTAAGTACTGTGATGTCTACCTGACTCCTATCTGCTTTGAATGTAGGGCCTTGGCTTTAGCATTGCTGGAGGTCGAGACTGCATTCGAGGCCAGATGGGGATTTTTGTTAAGACCATTTTTCCAAATGGATCAGCTGCAGAAGACGGAAGACTTAAGGAAGGTAGGAGAACACATCTTGGTGATCTGCCAAGACACTGAGCTTTGATCCCATGAGAATCTGCCCCTTTCAGAAAATGGAGCCAATGGCCCGCAGCTGAGGTCAGGGGCATGAGAGTCCTGTAGACCAGCACCTCCTCATTGTGATCTTGAGCAGTTGTGTAATCTGAGCTTTCCTTTCCCAGTGGTGAACTTGGAATGTTAATACCTGCCTTGAAGGATTGTTGTGAGAATTAAAAGAGACATACTCAAAGTGGCTTGATATGTGCATTGGGGACCACAAGTGCTTATTTTGTCCACCTGGTCCGTGGTCCTTCATTGTGTTCCTTGTCTGTACTGTTCCTGAGAGTTCAGTCCGTTCTCACCTTGGGACTAGTGTGAAAATAGAGAACCTAATCTTTAGTAGCCATTTACTATCCTACTGTTGAAATCAACCATCATGTAGTTTGGTTCCTAAATGAACATCTTTTACAATTCTCTCTAGCATCTACCATTTTGCAACACAAAAATAACACTAAACAAGTGCTTTTGAATGCAAGTTAGAGTAATATTGAGGTGCCAAGTTTTACCTTGAGAACAAAATTTTTAAATGCTTCAGTACATCTTATGTCTTGTAATGCTTTAAACATTTACTATACATTTCCATATATTTCAATTATTTCATTAACTGTATTACAAGCCTATCGAGTTGGCATTTTGGACTGATCATACAAGTGAGGAAACTAACACTCGGGAATGTTAAGCGACTAAGATTTTGTCCCACCCTTAGTAATGATAGCAGTGAAATTCAAATCCATTTTTCTGATCCCAAGTTCAATTCTCCCCACCTTACTACCCAAGATTAACTCATTTCTTCCTTCTTGAACATGATACTTCAAAAAACAAGATTTGAATACACCAAAATTTCCTTTGTATACAGACATACTACAAGCTGCTTTTAATAAAGGTAGAATCTTCCTATGCATGTTTGCATATTTGTATATTTGCCACAGAATATTATTCTGGATTAAGACTATTTTTTCTTTTTATTGGTTCATTTTTGTTATACATAACTTAGGATTCATTTTGACATAATTATAAAAGCATGGAATGTAATTCATTCTAATTCAGTCCCCAGTACTTTCCCTCTCCCTTCCCTCCTCCCTCCCCCCTTCCCTTGCCTCTGTGCCTCTGATCTTTCTGCTATTGTTTTATAGTTTTGTTTGGTTTTTTAATTAGTGTCTTGTGGATGTACTCAATGGTGAGATTCACTGTGAAATATTTATATACAAACATAGGAAAGTTAGCTCCAATTCATTCCACTGTTTTTTCTCATCCCAACCCTTGTTCCCTTCCCTTCAATCCTGCCCTCCCCCCCTTTTGTTGGCAAGGATGTGGGAGGAAAAAGGTACACTCATACATTGTTGGTGGGACTGTAAATTAGTGCAAGTGCTCTGGAAAGCAGTAAGGAGATTCCTCAAAAAACTAGGAACAACCATTTGACTCAGCTATCGCACTCCTCAGTATTTATCCAAAGGATTTAAAGTCAGCATGCACAGTGATGCAACCACATCAATGTTTATAGCAGCACAGTTCCCCAACAGCCAAGCTATAGAGCCAACGTAAAGTCTTCTACAGATGAACGGATAAAGAAGAATTCATAAAGAAAAACTTTATGGCATTTGCTGGTAAATGGATGGGACGGGAGACTATCATGCTAAGTAAAATAAGCCAGACTCGGAAAGTCGAAGGTTGAATATTTTCTCTGATAGTCAGAAGCTAATCCAAAATAAAGGGGGAAAGTTTAAAAAAAGAAAGACTATCTACTTTCATAAAGCACATTAACAAATTCTGAACATATTTTAAATAACATTCACCAAAATGTCAATCATAATTTTCCCTCCCTTATTATTATTCATCTTTCATGAAAGATTAAATCAGAATTTTTCTAGATATCTTCGAAAATGAACTGCTCTGACTCTTCAGTTCATTTGACCCAAATTGTAGCCACTGCTGTATTTTACTGATTTACTTTTTTTTTTTGGTGGTGGTGGTCCTGGGGATTGAACCCAGAGCCTTGTGTATGTGAGGCAAATACTCTACCAACTGAGCTATCCCCAGCCCCTCTCCTTTCTTTTAAGGTAGAAAAACCATAAAGCCTATACTAACAACAAGATGTGGCCAGGCTTAGTACTCCTAGGGCAAAACATTTATTTCTCTCTCTTGGAGGAAGGGTTAACACCCAGGTGGTGTTTATGTCTAGTTTCAGAACAATGTAAAATTATCATGTGTTTATTGGATTGAAAGACATCCTTCAAGACTGTTTTCTTTTTTCATATGTGTTCCTTTATAAGAAATGTAAGTCATCAAAACAGATTTTCAATCTGTTGAGTGATGTGCCTCTTAAAAACTTTTGTATAAATTTTAAGAGCATGAGAAATCATGTTAATGTTTCTATTACTTTTCCCATATAGACAAGACCTCAAAACCTTATCTACAGAATTCCTTTTTTTTTTTTTTCTGTAATTGTAAATGGACAGAAGGCCTTTTTTTGTTTGTCTGTTTTTATGTGGCACCAAGGATCAAACCCAGTGCCTCACTCATGCTAGGCAAGCACCCTGCCACTGAGCTACAGCCCCAGCCCCTACAGATTGAATCGTATACACAGTATGCTTCTAGGATTGGCTATCTGTGAGAGGTGAAATGTGTGTTCCCAAGTTGGTTGGCACTTTCTCATAGGTATACAAATCTCCCTTCCCTACTGCACTGGCACACGAAGTTCATCTGTGCTCTCTGGGGCTTCTTCAGAGTGTTTTTGATGAACTGGCATTCAGAAAAAAACAAACAACAACAACAAAAAACAGCCCCCGTCATAAGAGTTCATACCAGAAATGAGTTCTTACAAATCGACAAGGATGACCAGGGTCTTTTGGATTCCCAGCAGACACTACCCACAGCTTGAAAAAATGGCCTGCCCTTCTCTCCTTAGTGTTGGAGATTGGAGTAGCTTTAGAAGGCCAAGAGGCAAGCAAGCATGTGCAGGCCCATGCCTCACAATCAGACGTCACCTTAGAGTTATCTGACATCACCCTACAGTTACCTCTGAGACAGAAGCCTACAGTCGCTTGCTAGCTTGATGGTAGAGAACCTGGAACTGCATCAATAAGACCAGACATCTACACTATTTCTGAAAGCCAGGCTGCCGTTTCCCAATAATATCTCAACAAGTTTTTTGACTCTATTATTGAAAATATTTTTCATACACTGTGGATTTGGGGAGCTTGTCTCTCAGCAAATACAGGAGTGGCTTCTCAAATGTTGTGTGTGCACATGCTTCATTGCCAGTCTTTAAAAATGACTGTGAGGAAACCCTTGCAACTTTATATTTGCAATTTGATCTCTAAACATAGGATATGTTGTCAAACTTGACAATGACTAAAATAATAATAATAATAATAATAATAAGAAGAAGAAGAAGAAGAAGAAGAAGATCTTGTGATGTTTTCATTGAAGACTGGAATACAGAATTACTGCAAAAGAAAATGAATTTTCATTAACTGTCCCATTTTTGTGACATGCCTGGGAGTGAACTGTAACAATAAAAGTTACTTTATAAAGTAGAAAATCAAGGACCATATTCTGTCTCATTCTAGCACAAACCATGCACTTAGATTCCAGTAAATCAAAGCTTAATGTTAATGTGATTCTTATTTTATGTCACTAGGTGATGAAATTCTAGATGTCAATGGAATACCAATTAAGGGCTTGACGTTTCAAGAAGCTATTCATACCTTTAAGGTAACACCATACCTGTTGATTGATCTCCTTTGTCCTCTTTCTTCTTCCTTTATTTCCTTCTGGTGTGGGTTGGATGAAATGTTTTCCCCCCTTTGCCCTAAAAAACAGTCTGATTGTTTGAGGCCACCTTCTTTCTTGTTTTTGCAGCAAATACGGAGCGGGCTGTTTGTCTTAACAGTTCGCACCAAGTTACTGAGCCCCAGCCTCACACCCTGCTCGACCCCCACACACATGAGCAGATCGAGCTCCCCAAACTTCAACACCAGTGGGGGAACCTCAGTGGGAGCCTCTGATGAAGGCAGCTCTTCATCCCTGGGTCGGAAGACCCCTGGACCCAAGGACAGAATTGTCATGGAGGTCACTCTCAACAAAGGTGATTCTAGCTGTTCCTCCCTTCCACTGGGTTCTCTTGATAACAATTTAAAATCTCTTCTTACATTAAGTGTTTCTAAGTTTCCTTGGAATTGTTCCTTTGGGACCATTTGCTATCAACAACAGACAGTGTTCTCTAAGTGGACAGGGGAATCAAAAGTAGAGATTTCAGTCATTTTACAAGTGAGGAGAAGTTACCCATAGCAGAAACTCTCTGAGCTCTCCCCAGATGAATCACTGTGAATCAGAGACTCATGTTAAAACAAAATTACTGAGTAGCTTAAGTCTAGGGCTTATATATAAAATTTCAAAAAACTAAAGATTATAGTTAAGAATACAGTTAACACCAGTAACTAGAAGTTATGGGTGATCACCAAATCTTACTGCCTTTCATCTTTGTTTGCTTTTCTTCCCTACCTATGGAAATATGATCAGCAATTAAATAACCAAGAGATACATTGCTTAAAAAGAGGCAACAAAAGCCTAAAAGTGTGTACATCTAGAATAAAAATGTTACTGATGCTCTGCCTATTTCCAAAAACAGATTTGAGCCAGCCTTAGACTAAGCAGAGAATAGACACTTGGATAAAAGAAAAGCAGGATATACATTCTGATTCTGACCCAAAACTAAATGCTTACCTTCTGAATGTATGTTAGTACAGTTGCAAATAAGTTAACTTCTTTTCCGGTTACTGTGTGATTTTTGCTTTTGTTTTCTTTGAATTATGCCTCTCACAGAGCCAAGGGTTGGACTAGGCATCGGTGCTTGCTGCTTGGCTTTGGAAAACAGTCCTCCAGGCATCTACATTCACAGCCTTGCCCCAGGCTCAGTGGCCAAGATGGAGAGCAACCTGAGGTAGGTGGTGCCCCTGAGAGGAGAGGGTTCTGGCCTGTTTGTGAATATGTGAATGCACACACATATCTGCTGTGCTACATTCCTTTGTAGAATTATACATCTTTGAATTATTTCCAGTAATATAGCCAAGACTACCATTCATAGCCTCTCTGAAGACAAAAAACTGACATAAATGAAGTGTGGCTGAATCTGAGAACTCTGGATCTTGGTTTCCCTGTCTGTTCTGTTCTATTTGGACTCAGAAGTTTAGTTTTTGAATCCTGACAAAACACAGCTCTCTACAGATATCTCTGATTATCTCAATATATTCTTTCACTTTTATATTTACTTATACAAAATTCAGACAAGGTACCGGAACTGCTCACAGTGGTCCAGAATCACTGGATGCAAAAGAATCTTGAAATCATCCCCTTGAATGGGAGGCCTTTCTTGTTATTATCTCTTGAACTTTTTCCATTGCTTTCATTCCTGTGTGAGTGGTGATGTCTAGGTGCCTGTGGTCTGAGATCATGGAGCGTCTGATTTCTTAATCCAGGTACTTGAGTTGTATCATGAGTATTCTGTTTATACAAGAGATGTCTAGGTGTTCCATTAGACAGGAATTGCAGTGGGTTGGTGCCCGCCTTCACAGGAATGTACACGCACTGCACAAAGCACTCTGCAAACAGTACCACCTCTCTCCCCTATAAGCTAAGACCTTCAGCAGTTGAAGAATTGTCACAATGGCATTCCTTGAGGTTGCCATTTTAGGGCCCTGTTAATAGGTGATATTATATTTTTAGTTAATCTTCACAGTGAATTTTCATATTTTAAAAAAACTTAGTAAATCATCCAAAGTACATTAAAGAAAATATACTTTTAGAACCAAGGAAAAAAGAAAAAAAAATCCTTTAATGACATCCCAAGATGATGTTTCTTTCTTGAATGGTTCCATATGTCTGGAGGCTGCCAAATGAACATTCTTCAAACCCCATGTAAAGAGTCTTTGTTCTCTCTTACTGAGTTCTCTCCCTATAATTTCAAGTGGGCAACTTGTCCCCAATTTCTCATTTTTTCAAATTTGAAACGTTTTTACAAATTCCTGGGTAACCTTTGAGCTCCAGATATTTCCTCCTTAAATTATATTACAATAATCATTTCAAGATGGTGGGAAGAAAGAAGAAACTGATGGTGGTCGAGAGCCTGTCACATGATGATCAAGAGGCAAACAGAGCTGAGTTAGTTCAACATAGTGTGACATCTGGGTGACCTACTGAGCCTGTAGCCTTACCTACATAATGGAGCAATAGTTATACCTTTTCAAAGCATTGCTACATAAATTTCTTGCTATTGGGCCTGGCATACAGAATATGCTTAAAAAATAGTAGCCTTCCTTGTTTCCTTGTTAACTATGTTATTTAGCTTTACTACTTCTGAAAATGATATGGATAATTGCCTTTGCCAGTTGAAAATCGTACATGTTTATATGAATGTATTGCTTTATTTTTTTAAGATGGGTGCAGAAACCTTTGTTTTCTTTGCTGGATCCCCACCATCTTTATAAATCACTGAATTTTTGTACCTTTGTCATGACTGATTTGTTTTTCATGGGCCTGGAGATAGAACCCAGCCCTCATGCATGCTAGGCAAATACTCTACCACTGAGCTACATCTCCAACCCTCATGACCATAATTTTTTTTCTTCTTCTTTTTTTTTTTTTTTTTTTTTTGGTACTGGGGATTGAACCTAGGGACACTTAACCATTGATCCATATCCCCAAGTCTTTTCTTTTTTTTTTTTTTGTTTTTTTGTTTTTTTTAAATAAGGTGTCACTACGTTGCTTAGGGACTTGCTAAATTGCTGAGGCTGGCTTTGAATTTGTGATCTGCCTCAGCTTCCCAAATTGAGAGATTACAGGTGTGTGCCACTGCACCTAGCTCATGACTATAATTTTAAGGCAAAAACACAACATCTTTATTTTCATCTGTCTGTATTCTTAAAGTGCATGTGTAGGTTCATGTGTGGTATGTTTTGGCAGCATGTATGTTTATAAATGTGTTTATATATTGTCTACATTGTACCACACAGTTCTATAAATATTAAATACCATGCAACAAAAAAAAACACACAACTTTTCTCTCAGAACCACAAAAGTTAGGAGGTTTTTAACTAAAAATGAGAAAATTAACTGGTTGTAACTGAGAGGAGTTAATAAATGTAATATTAAACTATAATTATGTTTTAGAGCACAAACATATATTTGCTTAAGTTTTCCAAGTCTCTTTGAGAGCTACACCCTTAGTCTGAATAAACTAAATGAAATGATAGCTATTCAGTGACTACGTAGGACACTTCCAAATAAGATAAAATATTAAAATAGTCATTGCTAAATCTAGGTTTGCGTTTATCCACCTTTGGCTTTGTTACAGGTGTAAAAAGGATGCTAAAAGATGGTGGTCATGGTACAATTAGGAACACACAAATTTAGGCCTAATAGAAAAAAAAAACATGTATGCAAAGATGAAAGGATGATATTTACTTCTTGAAAGTATTCAGAAAAGATTTCATGATAAATCTCTCATAGAAGGAAGACTTCTTGTCTTTTAAAATGCTGATTTTACCACAAATTGTTGACTATGTCGTCCTCCCTAGCCGCGGAGACCAAATCCTGGAAGTGAACTCAGTCAACGTTCGCCATGCAGCTTTGAGCAAAGTGCATGCCATCTTGAGCAAATGCCCCCCAGGACCTGTCCGCCTGGTCATCGGCCGGCACCCTAATCCTAAGGTGAAGTGTTCCATTCTACTCTGAGCAAGGGAAGGTGGCTTAGCCATTTGTCCAGCAGTAGTGACTCATATTCCTAGACTGACACTAAGTATGATGCTAACTAATTGGTTTTTAAAGTAGGTTCAGTGAACTTTAAACTTTTTTGAAGAAATGAGAATGTGACAAGATGGAAATAGTATGAAATTACATTTCTATAATAGTTGGAACAATGATTATTCAGAATGTAATTTAAACTTGAACGATATCCTTAATTCACTTATACCAATGACTGTTTTTGCATTTCTGTAGGATGTCTAGAATACAGAATTTTTCAAGGACAAATGTCTTTTAGATTTGAAGAGAAAGGTTTCCTTCTTAATGCTCATTTAGTTGTTTGTTGGGTCAAAAAACTACCTATTTATTCTATCAAATGACTGTCTCACACAACTGAAAGAAATGAAAGTAAGATGAAATCTGGCTTTGCAAACCAATTGCTTCCTTGCAAATATTTGTGGATTTTGCTTCCATCAAAGAAAATGAGAGAGCACAGCATTTCAAATAAACCATAGTGGAGAAGTTGTTAAGTGTATTCAGTATTGCAGAAGATCCTATTTTTCTGTCCAGTGGACCCAGACTAAATTTTTAAGTTCATCATTGTGTCTTTTCCACTAACTACTACCACAGATGTTCTCAAACCAACCTATGCAGCATGTGTTAGTCAGCTTTCTATCACTGTGACAAAATACCTGAGAAAATCAACTTAAAGGAAGAAAACATTTCAATCCATGATCAACTGGCTAAGTTGTTTCTGGGCCTGTGGTGAAGCAAAACATTGTGATTGGAAGGGTGTGGCAGAAGAAAGCTGCTTAGCTCATGCAGCCAGGAAGCAGAGAGAGAAAGAGCACAATAAAGGGATGGAGGACAAGATATACTATAGGGCACAATACCAATGACCCCCTTCCTCCAACTAGGCCCCACATCTTACATTTCTACCACTTCTCAGTAATGCCATCACATTATTAATCCATCAGTGGATTAATCCACTGATGAAATCAGAGCCCTCATGATCCAATCACTTCCCAAACTTTCCACCTGTGTACACTGCTGCATTGGGGACCAAACCTTTAACATATGAGTCTTAAACACTTCATATCCAAACCCTAACACAGCATAAATACATACTGAAGTTCTCCCAGACATTTAGCATATATTCACATTATCCAGCGCTGGTTTTGCCTGTTCTGCTGAAGACACAGTCTGAAAGTGGGGAGTCTTTTCTTGGCATATCTCATGAAAGCAGCCCCAAAGAAGAGAACAGGAACCATGTGCAATGTGGAGTCAGTAGCACATGCAGATCACTGCAGCTCAGTCCATTTTCTGGTAGTAATGAGGCCCACGTAGTTTTCTATTGAGAATGAACCATTAAATGACCTTTTCTTGGTTCCAAGGTCTACTTAATTAGGAAAGAGGAAAGATCTAACACTAGTAGCTCAGCTGTAAGTACCAGCAGCCTGTGTAAACCTGATACCAAACAGAAGAGGCAGAGTTCCTGACAGACCCTGTGGGTGAGCTGGAATGGGTGTGGAAGCTGGAAGCAGGCAGGAGGCCAAGCATCCAATTAGTGGAGCAGACAGCCTGACCTTCCCTGTCTCCACGCTGCCCGTGTGATCCGATCCTCATCAATCCCTGTCCTATGTCAAATTCATTATCTAACGTTTATTGAACTTCCACTGTTAACATGCCGGAGCTGCACAGAGGAGTTAGAATGTATCCCAAGTCCAGAAACTTATATTCTTAATCTGAAGGGGTTCTTAACCTGAAGTCTGTGGACCTTTACTGGAACTTTACGAATGACATAATTTGGGAACATATTTACGTTTGTGGATGAAGTCAACAGGTTGCATCAAATTCTCAGTCATTTATGACCCCTCAAAATGTTAAGGTGTTAAACAGATGAAAAAGGAGACCCAGCTTAAAGAGAGGCCTCTTCCTCTGTCCAGGTCATCCTTGGCCTGCACAGATACTCTGTCAATAAGACCAAAGAGTCCATTAATTTTTTTTTCAACAGCAGCATCACATTGTTGATCCATACTGAACTTACAGATAATTGTAACCCATAAATCATTAGTCTCTGCTATTTGGTTCCGTCTCTTCTGTAATTCCATAGTTGCTTATGATTTTTTCAAGTTAACCATAGGACCCTTCAGCAACTTCCACTCAATCCACTTAGAGCACCATTTTTTGGTTGTTTTGAGTCCATGACATAAAAACATTTTAAAGTTAGTTTGCCCCTAATATTACAATCAGATCCTATTTAGCAAAATCTACACCTTTCCTTTAAACAACTCAAAATGTCCATTAAGAACATTGGAACCCCACGTCTATAATATTAAAAATATTATAATTGAATAATATTGCAAATTATATAATTTGTAATATTATTCAATTATATCCTGAATGATCCCAGGCTACCAATGTTTGATGGATTTGTATGCCACTGTAAGAGTAAGAAGTCTGTTCCAAAGGATCTTGTGGGTTCCCTCATGGGCCACATCTGATATTTCTTGACAGCATCATTTGTAAATTCTCAGTGATGCTCCTGGGTTGAGCTGGTGCTTCCCAGAGCACATAAGTGCTATTGAGCTATAACTCTATGCCTCCATCTGGGGGGGGGGGGGGGGGCAGCAGCAATAACAATGCTAGGAATAAGATGGCCCTTGAATGATTCAAAGGCAACTGCCTTTGCACATTGTGTTCTGTTACCTATATGCATTCTCAGAAATGTCTTGCATCAAAAATATTTAGTATCATTAATATAAAACCAGGTCCTCCTCCTACTTTTTTCCTCCTTCCCATCTTTCTCCTATCTCTTCTGTGATCCTGATACATTCTTTAAGAATCTGCTCTACTTTTTAGACTCTCTCCACTGTTGTCCCCATGGCTCTCTCTGGGTCAATTTTAACACCATTTTGACTCATAGTTACAGAGAGAACAGTTCTCAGCTCCTTTCTCCAGGGTCTCCACTTGGGTTCTGTCACCCCCATCATCTCTTCCACCTCAGGAAACAGACCAGTCAGTAGTAAGCTGTGGCTGACCTAATGCATCCCTTGGCAACATTAGAGAAAATTAAGTTTTCAGTGGTTTGCAGTCATTGGCTTCAAGGCATGACTGACTTCAAAATCCTTCCAGCATAACATGGGCCATGATTTGTTCAAGAGACCATTCATCTCGACCCCAAAACATTTGCCTATTTGCCAACACAATCAAAAGTCAAGATAGTGTTTCAGTGCAAAGCATAAGAATCCTGATAGACTGATGGTCCGAGAGTCTGTTGGACACAGGTCAATTTGTGCTTCTAGTCACAGTAAAATGGGCTTTCTGTGATAGTGTGGAGATGTGTCCGGCAGAACCACATTTCAGTATTTGACTGGATTTCACGTTTCTTCCTAGGTAAACATGGTGTTCTTGGTTGTAACACCATACTATATTTTTCTTTTGGTCAAGATTCTGTTTTATGTTCAATGTATTCTTTATACCACTTATCCCAGCATTTCATGCCAACAGAACATTTTGATACTGAATGTATGTGCTCCCTTAGTTTTTGTGTTGTTCCAAGAGAAATACCACAAGAATTTTCTTTTTCTTCGGTTTCTCATAATGTCTGGTGCAGCAGTTGCCCAATTAGGATATTTGAACCTTCCAGGTCTAGACAGGCTAAAATCTGGACCTGCTAGGGTAGCAGCTTCTAGCTTAGGTTAAGTAGAAAAAAGTAACAGAAATCCATTTTTCTCCCACTCCGAAAAACTGTTGTAAATATTGAAAGCCTAGTATTAAGAAAAATAGCAAGCACTGTTTAAGTTCATATTTTCCCTGGCTCATTTGTACAAAATTCTTCTTGTTCAGGGGTGGGGGTGGTGGAAGTATATATATGCCTGTGTGTATGTATACATGTTTTATTTCTTGTGGCACCTACTATAAATTATTACATAAAGGCTGTGATGTGATTATGATTTATCTATTTGAAATGTAATGCTGAATCCTATAGAGAAATATTTATAATTATTAAGACAAGTCACTATACTGATGCAAATATTTACTTATGCCATATGTTATTTTAGTGCACAAAATTACCACTCTAAGTTTGAAGTATTCTTACCTTTAAAAAAAGAAACTATAAGTTTTCTAATTGAAATGGTATCATAGTTCAGTATATGTCATGCTTTAAAAATATCTTCCCATGAATAATGACAAGGAGAAAAACTGATAGAAAAAAAAGAATTCCATAAATCTATAATAATACTAACAAATATAGAAGGAATAGAAAAGTTACAAAATAGTTGATTCAGTTACAAAATAGTTGGTCATAATTGATTCAGGCAAGAATAATCGATAACACTAAAATCGTGGGGTAAAAATAAATTGAGGAGCAGGGTATCTACAGTCTCAAACTGTTTCCTCACAGATTACTCATTAATGACATTCCAGTGGAAAAATCTGACAAGTTGCATCTTAACCAAAGAAATTCAAGTTATCATCACCATTTAAGAGACACATTGACCCTTAGTGCCTCTGTAAGTGCTGAGAAGGAAACTTTTTGTAGTTTTTCTGCCAAAAAAATTAAAAGCATAATCTGAATCTAAGCATGAGGAAACTATCAGACAGATCCCAATTGAGGGTTTGGGTTGGCCTGGGTTTCTTCCAAAATATCTGTATCGTGAAAGACAAAGAAAAGCTCATAACAATTTCTGATTAAGAAAGACTAAAGATGTGCAACAGCTCGAATGGATTATGTTCTGAATTGCCAAAAACGATTTTTCTGTAAAGCACTCTTATGCAGCGAAGCTGATCCATGATGGTCCCACACAGGTTTGAAACAAGAAGAGCTTGCACCAGGATGTAAACCAGTTACCTCACTGTACATGCCATTTGGTTCAGTTGACATTTTTCCCCTTGGCAAGACTTCGTTGATGAAGCAAGCCGGGTTCTAATTTGCATTCCAGATTACAGTCTTTATGTCACCACAGGTTGGTGTCAGACTTTCTGTGAACTAGTTGCAACCCACAGATACACTCAGAGTAGGTCTTCTAAAATTAGGATGGTATCGGAACATTTTGACAGAAATTGGAATATGACATGTAAATTAAAGAGTCATCTGGGATGAATTTCCTGAATCAGACAATAGTATCATGGTTATCTGAGAGAAAGTCCTTATTTTTAGGAGTTACCCATTAAAATATTTACAAGTGAAAGATCATAAAGTCTACAACTTGCGTTTGGTTTAACAAAAAGTTGTGACTCTGTGTGCATTCACATGCATGCATACAAAGAGAGGGCATATACATAAATGTGGCAAGTTGTTAAAAATTAGTGAATCAAGGTGAAGAATGTACTATTCTTGTACTGGTCTTCATTTTTTGTAGGCTTAAAATTGTTTAAAAGAAAGAATTGGATTGAGTGTTCTAGAAAGAGAAGATGCAGTCATGGCATGGTACCTGAGCTTGGGAAGTTGAAGGTCTTATTATACATTCATTCTTTGAAACAACCCACTAACCCAACTGTACTTACTGTCCAGAGTTATTGCTTCAGAGGATGGTCATAATCTTTGACCATGTGATTTGCCTTTTTTATCTGCATTCAACTTGGACTCTGGTCTCAGCTACTTTTATTGGGGGAAAATAAATAAATAAAACCATCTAATTTGTGCTTTCTGCTGAAAATCAGGTTTCCGAGCAGGAAATGGATGAAGTGATAGCACGCAGCACTTATCAGGAGAGCAAAGAGGCCAGTTCCTCTCCTGGCTTAGGTACTGTAATTGCACATTTTCATTCAACATTCAGAAGAGTGTCTCATTAAGTTCACCCAGGGGGCGCTCCCCAGTGCAATAGTATTGGATTCTGTAATTATCAGGGTTGGTGAAAGTAGCTGTCAGAGAGAACTAGTGCTTTCTCTTAGTTGGTACTTTTTCTTTCCACAGTTATTTAATGTGCTTCATTAAAGATCTAATCATGCATGCTTCTTGTACTACTCTCAAATACTTTGCAAAAGTGAGTTAACAGCATTTCATGTATTTATACACGATTCATCCAAAATGCTGTAGATGAAAGTAAGATGATACCAAAATATGAGTAATTTGATAGATGCAGCATATTACTCATCTAAAAGCCTGAGATTTCTTTATATGAATTTAAAAAGTTTTAATGTACAGAGAGTAACAGAGGCAGCAAAAATCATGATTTGTAAGTGGAAAAAAGTTCAAGCGGAGAAGGAGTGGCCAGGAGTTTCATATGAATTTAGAACATTGTCTTGCATTTTAAAACTAATGTTTCCTGTAGCATGGAAACCTAAAGAGACTCTTCAAACATTTCTGAGCTGGAGATTTTACTGATGTTCAGATTGATGTCCCAGAGGGAAAAGGAACTGAAATATGAGTTACTGGTTGTCAGAGAAAAAGTAAGGCATAATATTTTTTGGCAACCATGAAATACCCTGATTATTTGCATCCATAATTAATATATTTGAAGTGGACTCAGCCATAATAGACTCTTTATTCAACCATTCAATTATTCTGACCTGCCTGAAAGCTGCAGTCTCTTAATCCCAACATTTCACTCTATCAGTTAGAAAAGATTTTATTAAGCATGATCCATATGCCCTAAATCGCTTTTGCTTGTGGCATAGAATTTAAAATCTAAATTCTGAGCTTTTCATCCTTTAGTTAAAAATTAAAATAGATATCCATCCCTCTCCCTAGTTCTTTCCTAAGTTTCTTGAATGATGTTCATTTGTCCATTCATCCTTCAACCCATTCAGCAGATACCAATGAACACTTACTAGACAGCAGGTGCAATGCCCAGCTCTGGGGGTCCAACCAGTCAACCTCTCTGCTGTACCAATTGTGAAATAGTCGAGCAAGGCAGATGAGATACATCCACTCATCACTAAAATTTCCTGTGTATCTGGAAATGGAGGTGTGTTGTCTAAAAGACTTTGAAAATTCAGAGAAAGAAATTACTTCTAACTGGGGTCATTATGGAAGGAGGTAACATTGGAGTCAGGGCTCAGATCATGAGCAGAGTCTTGGGAAGTAGGATGGGGTGAGTCAGGGACCCAGGTAGACTGTACGCATCTACCTATGTGCACAGTCCCTCTGTACCCTGGCAGCAAAGGGAGCTTTTGTTTAATATGCTTGGTGCCTCCTTTTCTAGTTAAGTGTGTGAGCCTCTTAGTGATTTGAACTTCATCGTTTTGACAATACGGTGAATTCTTCCCCATGCAGGTACTCCCTTGAAGAGCCCCTCTCTTGCCAAAAAGGTGAGTCAAGACATGTTACTACCTACCCTGCTCAGCAGGACTCTAACCAGGAGCCCCTAAGTCAAGCCAGAGTGCCCAGCACATATTTCTGCCCATGAGTCCTTTATGTCACTTTTTACAGGAAATAGCAACCATGCTAATTTGAGAACAAATCCCCAAGTGTGTCTTTCACTTATTAAATATTCATCCAGGAAAAGAGTAGAGCAATAAAATTAAAGAACCAGAACTGCAGTTTTAAAAGTAGTTTTTTAAAAAACTGCTCCATATTAAAGCAGGCCTGAGTTTTGGGGGACCTGTGACTTTAAGGAAATGGTGGAACATCTCTAAATCCCACTCGATCTGGGCGCAGAGTTCTCCCCACCCCCAATCAATTGGCTGGGCCAGTTGGCTTGGGATTTCATTCTGTGTTCTTATCCCTTCCTCCAGTGTGTTTCCTGGGATGGTTGATAAACTACTGCTGTGGCTTTCATGATCATTGCCAAAAATGTGACCACCACCACCCCCAAACCTCTAAAACCAGGGTCTGGCAACAGCAGTCACCTTTTTATTCTGTAATCGTTAATTTAGCCATTCTGAAAAGTAAATGGAGATGGGCGTTTACTATCACAGCTGTTTTGAATGACCGTGGATTAGAACAAAGTGTTCTTGCAAAGATAGGAAGTAATTAGTTTCAAATAATCTGCTTCTGGTGCATTTTCTGAGAAAGCGGAGACATCCAGCATTTTCTTCTCCAACAGGACTCCCTTATTTCTGAATCTGAATTCTCCCAGTACTTCGCCCACGATGTCCAGGGCCCCTTGTCAGACTTCATGGTGGCCGGCTCTGAGGATGAGGATCACCCAGGAAGTAGCTGCAGTGCCTCTGAGGACGGCAGCCTGCCTCCCAGCTCCTCCAGTAAGCAGGAAGCCCCAGTGGGCCCTGGGCTCTGCATTCCAATAACCAAGTGCTAGTTTGCACCTCTCCACTGGAGGCTATGGTGGTTTAACTTCCCTGGTGCTAAAATGTGAATGGAGAACTGGAAAGCATGCCTCTGGATGAACAGAGGTCATCTTTCCACCCTGACTAAACACAGTTTACTCTTGGTAGATGCAGCCACTGTAATGATGGGCCACTCAAGTGGACAGTAAATGGGCTGAGTGCAGACTCCATTCCCAGGTGGGGAAGGTTGGCTACCCCATGAGGCAGATGGAGGGACCTCAGGTGATGGAAAGGCCCAGGTATGGGGGACACATCATTGGATAATTCCTTCTAGAGAGGAATTATCCACAGCAGCATTTAGGTTGGACCCCAGCAACCTGTGAGACATCATGGAAATCAAAGAGTTACAAGTCTCTGTCTCCAGACAGCACACAGTCTACGTTAAATTATCCAGAGGGCTAGGGATAAAAGGGTGGGGGATACCAGAAGGAAAAGGGGAGCCATAGGCTGGCCATCCACTCTGAATAGAGCCTAAGACGTCATGTCACTTAAGCACGGTGTCCAGGGGTCAGAGGTTGAGTGTCTGCAGTTGTGAATGCCGCCGAATGCTCCTGTGTTGTGATGGGATTCTATTATCAGACCAGGCCAGATTCAGGAACTTGGTTTCATTTGACTTTTCTCTCTGCCTCCTCCAGCTCACAAGGAACCAGGAAAAGCCAGGGCCAACAGCCTTGTGTCTCTGGGAAGCCAGAGGACCTCTGGGCTCTTCCACAAGCAGGTGACAGTTGCCAGACAAGCCAGTCTTCCTGGAAGTCCACAGGTCCTCAGGAACCCTCTGCTCCGCCAGAGAAGGGTGGGCTGCTACGACGCCAACGATGGCAGCGATGAGGAAGAGTTCAGCAGAGAAGGTGACTGCGTTTCCCTCCCAGGATCCCTGCCAGGTCCCAGCAGGCCTCTGACAGAAGACCACTCTAGGCATGCCTTGGTGACGTCTCCCAAGATCACGGATGTCAACAAGCAAGAGGAGCAACGCCAGAAAACACAGGTCAGCAAGGCCTCCTCAGTGCCCCTCCTGGGCAGCTCGTTGTACTTGGAGGAGAGTGTTCCAGAGGGTATGGTGGATGCTGCTTCCCAGGCAACCAGCCTGCTGGGTTCTGCAGAGGTCCCAAGGAATGGCCCTGGAGGCTCAGGAAGAAAGGAACTGTCAGGATCCAGAAGTTCACCCAAATTGGAATACAAAGTCCATATAGATACCCAGAGTGTGAAGAGCACAGAGAACCCTATTCCCCCCCAGAAGAGTGAAAACCTGATGTCCAGGCACAAACCAGTGGCCAGGGTCAGCCCACACTGCAAGAGGCCCGAGGCAGAGTCCAGCTGCTCAGAGACAGAGTCCCTGACTGACAAGGCTGATGGACCATGTGGTCAGGACGTAAAAATCCAGGCCACTGCCTTCAAAGAGACTGTCACTGGTCTTCTACCAGATGGAACTGCCAAGGAGGTAACTGACTTTCTCTTGGTTACTTTGAATCTAAGTGAATATTGTGTGACTGAATAGGGGCTCTGTTGGTAAGCACAGGGAAATCCACCTCAACAAAAAGGATGCTGGTCTGGGGTGTAGCTCAGTAGTAGAGCACTCGCCTTGCATGTGTGAGGCACTGCGTTCGATTCTCAGCACCATATAAAAGTAAATCAATAGAATAAAGGTATTGTGTCCATCTACAACTAAAGTAAATATTTAAAAAAAAAAAAAAAGATGTTGACAGGAGAAATATCTTTCGGGAGAGTCATTCATTTAATGGGAGCCTATTAGCATATTGGTAGGTCATCAGTCCTGAGGTCATTCAGCTAAAAGCGATTGCTCCCTTACCTGTACACAGGGCCTCTAGTGGAGGATGGAAAGGCAGTATGGTGTGGGTGGAGCAAAGCCCTGGGCCTGGTACCAACTGCTCCACTGACTAAGTGGTATAAGTTGAGTGACTACTTAGGCAAGTTACTGAGTCTTTTTTTTTTTTGGGGGGGGGGGGCGGCGGTGGGGGTGGTTACCGGGGATTGAAATCAGGGGCAATCAACCATTAGCCACATCCCCAGCCCTATTTTGTATTTTACTTAGAGACAGGGTCTCACTGAGTTGCTTAGCACCTCGCTTTTGCTGAGGCTGGCTTTCAACTCACGATTTTCCTGCCTCAGCTTCCCAAGCCGCTGGGATTACAGGGTTATTGAGCCTTTTTGAGCCTCCATTCTGGCTGTAAAACAGGGCTGGTGCTGTCTGCCTGGTCAGGTCGGAGTTGGGGGAGCCACCAAATCTATGTTCGCGGGGATTCTCTTCCACTGATAAGGTTATGAGTGGTCCTTACTATAGCTTGATTATTATTATGTCACGTGAATAAGGGGGGTTATAATCATTTAGAAATATATAATGCACCCACATTAGATGCAAGTTAATTTTTTGTTACTACTTGGTTAGAATTATCAAATTGTTCATTTTTTTATATTTTGATATATACCTCTTCTTTAACAAGGAGAGAGGAATTAATGTTGTTTATTAATCTGCTCAACATAAATAATTTCTCTTTATCTCTGAGCAAACAACCTGAGGTGACTTAATCAGGCCATATTTGAAGATGTTAATTGGCTTATGTAAAAATACATGTAAATAGATCCAGAAATGAAAAATCAAAAACACTATATGAGATCAGAAGTCCTTTTTTCCAACCCTATTTAAAACAAAAACAAAAACTGGGTGTCATGGCACATGCCTGTAATCCCAAAGACTTGAAACGTGGAGGCAGGAGGATTGTAGGTTCAAAGCCAGCTTCAGCAACTTAGCGGGGCCCTAAGCACTTAGTGAGACCCTGCCATAAAATTAAAAATGAAAAGGGCTGGGGATCTAGTTCAGTGGTTAAGCACCCCTGGGTTAAATCCCCAGCCTCAAAAGTAAAATAAATTAAAAAGTAGAAATATACATCTTTTTTTCCCCTCAAATTATATCTTACCTCTAACCAGCATGAGTTTTGGTTTTTTTCTTTTTCCAACCTATATTTTATAAAATAATGTTTAAACAATGGGTATGTTCCATTTTTTTCAAAAAGTATCATAATCAGTTTTGGATAACTATAGAACACCAGATCAGGATTTTTATTCATAATGATGTCTATCTATTAAAAATAAGAGCCTTTTGTACTTTTGAAATTATATTCTCAATAAGAACTTTTGAGCAGCATTTAAAACTGATGCAAAAGAATTTTTCTCACAAAACTTTTTGTTCCAAAATTTAATTTAATGATATACAAAAAAATAGAATGCATTGCTCTGAAGTATCCTCAAATATTGGAAGTTGAAAGCAAAGCCAGGGGGCTGGAGTTGTGGCTCAGTGGTCGAGCGCTTGCCTCACATGTGCGAGACACTGGATTCGATTCGCAGCACCACATATAAATAAATGAATAAAACAAAGGAGATCCATCAATGTCTAAAAAATATTTTTAAAAAATCAAAACCAGAGAAAAGCTTTGATGAGTAGGTTTTCTATTGCTTTTATTTAATTCTTTTTATTCAGGCAAAATGTACATAATGTAAAATTAACCATTTTAAAGTACACAGTTCAATGGCCGTGGGTGCATGTGACGGCCACCTCTGTCCCATTCCAAAACTCTGCCACTGCTTTTACCTTACACTTACCTTACCTTACTGAACCTGAATGGAGTTAAATGCTAGGAAGGTTCCCCTCCCCTGGTAATTGACATTTTAAAAAAATGAATTTTTACAAGAGTTGCTCGGACACACTGTACCTCTCACTTCTCTTCTTTGCCGCCACCCTTGGGCCACTTTCTGACTCAAATTCAGTAGATAAATTCCAAATAAATCCGATTTAACTTTCTAATAAGTTAAAAAAAAAATTTTTTTTTTTCCCTCAACGAAGAGTAGGATAGAAGAAAGCAGGATAAAGTCATTGACACTTGGCCTGAGAGAAATCTTAAAATATTAAAATGTCAGTTTCATTTAGCCAGATTTGTCGTTTCCCTCACTACTAAGCTAAGGAATTGACTTTACAGTCTTGGAAATCTCTAAATAGTATTATAATAATACTGCCTTCCATCTCGGGAGCCTTTTATATGCCATTTTATAGCTATTCTCACTTAAGCATCTTTTATTTAAAACCCCATCGTGAGGGCTGAGGCTGTGGCTCAGAGGCAGAGCACCTGCCTCACATGTGTGAGGCCCTGGGTTCAATCCTCGGCACCACATAAAAATAAACAATGGCATTCTGTCCATCCACAACTACAAAAAAATAAAAAATTAAAAAACCTCCATAGTGAGACTTATCATTCCCATTTTAAAGCTGAGGAAACTGGGTCTTGGGTCAGAGGAACAAGACCACGCTCTTTTCAGGTCCAGATCTCCTGGCTCCTACTCCAGCCTCTTCTGACTTTTCTCAAACCACTTTCCTCTGCTCTGTATGATGTTGTCTTATGATGCAGAAAACCTGAAAGCCATCAGCAGTGACTTGTGGTTGTAATTGTACCAGGAACCTCTGGGGAAGCTGACCCCTGGGGATGGATGTGTCCCGATTGACTGTGGGCCAGCCAGTATTCTGTGTCACCCTGACCCCGGACATCTCACAGAGAACCCCCCCGAAGCTGCACCAGAGTGGGGGCAACAGCCTGTGACTGGTGAGATTAATTTATCATTTGTTAAATTTAAAAGTAGCAAGGCACACACCCTAATAAAAGTATTACAAGTGGATAATTTTGAGGAGGGGAAAACTTCTTATGCGAATTTATGATGTTTAAATGCTGCCTTCACTTAACAATTTGACTAGACCATTGTGTCTAACTTTATACCTTTTTTTTTTTTTTGGTATTGATGATTGAACTCAGGGGCACTTGGCCACTGAGCCACATCCCCAGCCCTGTTTTATATTTATTTGGAGACAGGGTCTCACTGAGTTGTTTAGCGCCTCACGTTTGCTGAGCCTGGCTTTGAACTCAAGATCCTCCTGCCTCAGCCTCCCAAGCCGCTGGGATTCTAACTTCATAGTTTTAATTCCATGTCGATGGCATCCATTTTCAGGCATCAGTACTATTTTCCCAAAAATGTGTCACAAATGAGACATGAGATAAAACACAAGGATTTTCCACCCTTCAGAATCTCAACACACTGCTTATGTGAAATCAAGTGCACTGAGAATGGCGACAAAAACCTCCACCAGGGAAAGTAAAAAAAAACAAATATTGGAAAAAGTGTTGATGAGAGATGGAGTGATGTTGTGGAAGCAGAAATCGTGTCAAAATCAATGTGACCACCTAGCATCTTGTAGTCATCCAGAATAATGTTGCAGAATTAGATGTTTCTAGTCAGGGTGAATTTCAATAACTTGTCAGCCTTTTTAGTGGAAGTTGCAAATTTGTCTTTTAAACTTGCACTTTGGTGGGGACACTTTTCTCAGTGGCTGAGAACCGCTGGAGGGCCTCTGAAGTGCTGGCAATCCCTCTGCAGCTGCCACCAGAGAGTCTTTGCCTATTGCAGTTCCTGCTCTCTGGTGAGCAACTATGGCAGAAGAGGGACATGAGAAGCCCCACTTGGTAGGGCTGTCCTTATAAATAAAAAATTTGGAAACTCAGAATATCCTCCCGATATTTTGATGGCCACTCACAGAAAAAATACAGGTCCCTGATGCTTTGTGATCTGTGGCTCTTTGTCCTCCTGTGGATGAGGCTGTTACCCTGGTTTCTGTTCTTTACGGTTCACACTCACTCACTGACCCAATGTGAAAAACCAATTTTATTAACAGCCTGACTTTTGCAAAGTGTGTTAGCTTTAAGGGGTTTTATTTGAGGGAAGATAAGTTATATGGAGGAAGCCCTCGGGGTCACCTTTCAAAAGAATGCTTGATCTGAGGCCAGCATCAACCACCCATTTGAAGAGTGAATATTCTATAAAAGGATCCTCTGGAAGTTTCCTTGGAAGGGACGTTTGCTCTGGAATTGAAGGGGAGGGGCAACAAAGGGGCATTTTTTTAATCACCAGCCTAATGCAGAAATCCTCTCCTTTCTCTTTCCACATGAGGACGTTTTCCTTAATTCTGTGCGTTTGTGACTTAAATAAGTGGGTGTTTGCATGTAAATTTCTCCTGGGTTATATTCCATGTAGAGAGACATCAAGCCTACCCCTCCCCACTTCCCCCCCACAGAAGAACTGCCTTCCCTGTGTGTTACAGCTTCTGACCCTTCCCACTGCAGGTGTGTGGGTGCTCGCCTGTCTCCCCCTCTCTGGACTCCCTAGAGATGATGAGCCCTGAGAAAGGAGCAACTTGTCTCCTGGGCATTCACTGAGCAACCAGTTAACACTGTGCCAGGAACCGATACTTAGTATTTGTGCTATGTTCAATTAACATATAATTCATGATACCCATTATCACCCAATTCTTAAATGTCAGGGTCCTCATTATGAGGACTGACTGTTGAGTTATAGTGACACCCTGGCACCCTCTAGGCTTTTGGGGTGTATGAGAAGTATTACACATTTTACCTGGTCCCAAGCCAGACTTGATGGTACACACTGCTAATCCCAGCTGCTCAAGAGGCTGAGGCAGGAAGGATCGCAAGCTTGAGGCCAACCTGGGCAACTTATCAAGACCTTGTCTCCATGTCTCTTTTAGAGGGGAGGCAGGGAGGTACCAGGGGTTGAACTCAGGGACACTCAGCCACTGAGCTACATCCCCAGCCCATTTTTGTATTTTCTTTAGAGATAGGGTCTCATTGAGTTGCTTAGTGCCTCACTTTTTGCTGAGGCTGGCTTTGAATTCATGATCCTCCTGCCTCAGCCTCTTGAGCCACTGGGATTACAGGTGTGCACCACCACACCTAGCTCCATATCTCTTAATAAAATAAAAAAGGTCTGGGAATGTAGCTCAGTAACAGATCACATGCTTATCATGTGTGAAGCCTTGGGTTCAATTCCCAGCATGGCAAAATAAAAACAAATAAATAGATAGATAGATAGATAGATAGGTAGGTAGATAGCATCATCCCTACAATTTTATCAGAGCTTCTGAATCCTTTTTGTGGATTTCTATTTCTCCTTCCTAGTCAAAAAGTTGGTCCTGCCGAGAAATTGACTGTTAATCAAAGCTTGCTTTCTTCTCATTTGATTATAAGTAGCTTAGCTACTTTTCAATATGTAGGAAGAATATTCTTCAAAATATATTCTTTTTTTATGTAAAGATCCCAGAATGCTTAACTGATAAAGAAGGAACACCTTACCTTTTTTTTCTTTTAATCCTTTTTAAGATTCCAAAACAATGTACGTGCAGCATGATAGTGAAGCCTGTGGCACCACCTGCAGGCTCCCTGGGTTCAAGTCCAAGCTTCAAAGTTTGACCAGGGAATTGACCCTGGGCAAGTCACTCATATCCTAGGTTGCCCACCCCATGGTTTTAGGGGTGTTTTTTTGTTTTGTTTTGTTTTTTGGAGGAATCAATGAAGTTTTTCACAGATAACATTTGGAGGCCTGTCTAGTATACAATATACACTCAATAAATTTTATGCACATGATTTTTCTAAGGAAAAATACACATATTTCACTGCCTAGAATATAATATACATGCAGTTGGATACATGCATGTACACAGACATGCAAACAACATGATTTTTCGAAGAAACTTTCTAGAAAGGAATAAAGATCCACTTGCTATTGTACACAGGAGTGATCGGCCAACCAAGCAAATGTACCGGTGGGGAGGTCTGACGTTGAGCCCAGGCAGATGGAACTGACCCCTAGTGGGTAGCTCTTAGAAACCAGGAGGAAGAGGCAGCCCAAAGCAGTGTGGGGAGTGTAGAAGTCCTTGTTTGCCACTAAATTTTTAAATAACTCTCATGAAATGCATACATGATTATTATTTTTAAAAACTGAGAAAATAATAGTTAATAGAGAAATTGTTAGCATAAAAATCATCTAAGCCCCAGGGTGGGGAAAAAACTCTATTAACATTTTGCTATGCATCTTTTTTTTTTTTTTTTTTTTTAACGAATGCTGCTAGTATGGAACTCAGGTCCTCATACACTCTGGTCAAGTGCCCTACCACTGAACTATGTCCCCAGCCCACTATCTAGTCTTTTAGTCCTGTTGTGCATACATGAGTATGTGTAAAATATATCACTCACAGTCCTATGCTGTTTCTTGGGGTAGGGGGGGACAAAGTACTCCAGTGTTCACCTGTACCTAACAACCTTTTTTTGCCTCAGACAGAAGATAATTGAGCAGTCTGCTGGGGTGACAAGACTGATCCTAAGCCTGTGTGATCAATACAGTCCCCTGCAGCCTGTCCCATGCCCTAGCCCCTCCACAGCAGCACAAATGCAGCCTTCTTGAGTGAGGAAGCTACACTGATGTCCCCAAGTCCTTCCACACTACAAACCATGAGTGACAGCTCCTGGGCCTTTGGCCCAGGGCTGTGCCCATTACTAGGCATTTGGGGAGTTTCCAAATGAAGCATTATTTTGGAAGATGATATAAGGCTGCCTGCACGTAACTTAATCTCCCTCAAATAAAACCCTTCAAGATTCACACTTTGCTATTGCACAACTTGCCTGGGAGGGGTGTATTCAGTGAGTGAATCTGAAATTGAAAACTCAATCTGCTCCTCTTGTCTCATTGCTCCCTGTATTTGGTGTTAGTAAAAGCAGGAAAATTATGCTTTGGGAGTCCAGGAAAGGCTGAGCAGAGAACACCACTGGATCTGGCTCTCTGAAGGGCCCTGGCCTCCCCAGAGGATCCAGGAATCTCGGTGCCTGTCTCAGAGATCCATACTTGCTATTGCCACATGCTGTCAACACAGAGGCCACAGGGTTAGGGTTCAGTCTACAGCGTGGCTGTAGATCCAGTTACATCACCTGTGAACGGTGACCTTTGACATGCTGCTGAACCACTCAGCAGCTCCATCTTCGTCTGCCCAAGGCCGATGGTCACAGGGCATTCCCCACAGTGTTGGGAGGAAAACTAAGTGCCTGAGGGACTCTTAGCATGGTGCCAACCTTCATTACTGGAAAAACTCGTAGTGCTAAGTCCTAACAATTACTTCATAATTATTCACAAAGGAACTTCAGGAGGGGGGAAAGCGCAGTTAGGATGATTTTATGTGAGAGATGAGGGATGAATGTAACATTTGGGGTAGATGACTGTTCTCAAACCAAGAGCATTCATGTGACTGAGCTTTGCACTCCGACCTATGACCCCAAGAAAACTGCTAACCCTGGTTCTTTTTTATGCCAATCTCCCCACCAACCCCGTTGCCAGGTGCTATGTACCAGAGGTGGATAGATTAGCCCAAGAGTATGCAGGGCTTTCCAAGGAGCCACCTGCAGGATAGCGTGGGTCTTGAAACATGTCCCATGAGTGACTTAAGTACCCCGTTTCCTGCCACCATGAGCGTCCATGCTTTCTTACCTCTGTGCTTTCATTCCGTTGCCTTTCTCACCTTCCTTCCCATCGCTGTGCCCAAACTGTCCTCGTGAGCACCCCTCCAGCCCCTACCCGCTCCGTGGAGGCTTCCTGCAATAGCTCAGCCTTCTAGCCCCACTGTGCTGAGCCTCAAGACGTGCCAAGGCCCCAAGTAGACGTAGCCCTGAGTCCCACCCACAGCATCTGTCTCTGGGTAGCATCTCTTAAGCTAAAAGGAGGCCTCTAAATTCAGAGATTAGACTTTCTTATGCTGTACCCTGTCCCTCCCGTCTCACAGCCTGAGGGACAACCCTCACCTGATGGGCCAGATGCTGGGACTGGGTGAGATGCGAGGCTCTGCCGAGTCCACCCCAAATCTCAGGCATCGCACAGAACAACTGCTCCACTCCTCCTGAGCTTCTGCTGTCAAAGAGCAGCTGGTGTAAAGAAACCCAAGGATTTCTGGTGTCCCCCGTCCTCAGAAATCACCAAGAAAGAGAAAAATGGGCAGGCTCACACGCTCATCCTGCCAGCTCGTCTGAGTTATTTTGGGGCGGCTGAAGCAGTGTGGTGTTTGCTGGATGTGAGCGCTCTGTAATTTGAGAGACAAAAACAGACAGACAAGAAGGCCCACGTGTAGGCTGTGGAATGTCCTCCTAAAAAAAAAAGAAAAAAGGCTGAGATTGTTTATGGTTCTCTTTTCATTGCAAGGGCTTCTGTTTTCCTCCCTTTGCCCCTTCATCTTCTCTACCACTCCACTTTTTGTTCTCCACACAGGACCAAACAGCCCTCCGGCCCTGCTCCCTTCCCCAGGAAAGGAGGCCACCCATCCTGATCTCAGCAAGACCTCCACGGATGCATGGCAAGTCAGCAGGCCTGAGAAGGCTGGCCAGCCTGTGTTGCCCAGGCTCCTGGAGCCTGAGGCCCAGGGCAGATCTGCTGTGATGGTCCCCCACGAGTGCAGCACACCCCCAGGGGAGAAGGCAGTGACCCCTCCTGACTTCAGCAAGACTCTGGCCAGCTGCCATGGCACCACCAGAAAGGCAGCTGCCCCCAGAGTTGTGGGACCTGGGGCCGAGGAAGCAACACCAGCCAGTGCCCTCCTGCCACAAGACCTCATATCCCGGGAGCAGAGTCGAGGAACTCCAGCCACCCACTGCAAGGGCTCCAAATCCTCAGAAGACCAAGCCCCTGAGACCCCCCAGGAGGCCACTCTGCTTGAGGTCACAGATGCTGTGTCTGCAAGGGTGTCACGGGCCAGCCCCTCCCTGCCAGTGCCCACTGACAAGACCAGCGACACGTGTGATGGGGTCTCTGGGCACTGCTGCCCACTGGGGAGCAGAGAGAGCCTGGTGACAGACATTGACAGATTCATCAAGGAGCCAGAGGCTTCTGAAGTGAGGCCTCAGTCTTCTCAGAAAGGGGGAGGCAGGGGTCACCAAGGCACTTCTCAGGTTATGCTGCAGGCAGGAGCTGGAGGTGGCAGTTCCCAGCATGCCCTTCCAGTCACAGGTGACCAGACATCGTCCCCCAGGAAGGCCTTGGCCACTGCTTCCCCAACAGCCCCACTGTGGGCCTCCCAGCCTTCAGTTTTAGATTCCATTAATCCCAATAAACATTTTACTGTGAACAAAAACTTTCTGAGCAACTACTCTAGAAATTTTAGCAGCTTTCATGAAGACAGTAACTCCCTGTCAGGCCTGGGCGACAGTACAGAGCCATCTCTCTCCTCCATGTATGGAGATGCCGAGGACTCCTCTTCCGACTCCGAGTCGCTCACTGAAGCCCCACAAGCTTCCACCAGGGACAGCTGGTCACAGCCTCGTTCTCATGGGTCTTCTCCCAAGGAAGATCCTACGGAGTCTGAGGAGGAACAAATTGAAATTTGTTCCACGAATGGTCACCCCAATCCACCCTCGACGACTCCCGCTCAGGCTGCACCCTGCCCGGCGTTAGCCAAAGTTCTGCCGTTGAAGCACAGTGCGCTGAGCGAGTCCCTGGGAGACCCCTGCGAGACAGCGTCCTTCTTGCCAGGAGCCTCCTGCACTTCCAGCCCAAACTCTCCCCAGATGTTTTCACTCCTGGATCTGAGGGCTCAGGAGCAGGAAACTCCTGCGGAGATGAGCATTTCACAGAGTCACAGGACTCTGCGTGCAGAAGAAACTATGGAAGTGAACGGCCAACCTTCTAAAGTTGTGAGGCACGACCCACCAGTCACGCTCGGCTCCCCTCACGTGGTGAATGGTCTGGGACATGACTGGCTGGATGACAAAAACCCAGACAGACAAGAAACAAAGGCAGACACCACTGAAAACGTGTGCCCCTTCAGTGTGGACATCCCAAAGAACGGAGAGTCTGTTTTGGCAGACCTACACATCTCGGAGAGTCAAGACCTGGATGACTTGCTGCAGAAACGAAAAATGATCTCCAGGAGGCCCATCATGGCCTGGTTTAAAGAAATAAATAAAAATAGCCAAGGTTCACACGGACAGAGCAAACCAGAGAAGGACTACTCCACCATGCCAGCCAGAAGTCCCGACTCCAAAATTCAGATGTTGAGCTCAAACCACAAAAAGGGGGTTGCCATACCTAATAGCCCTCCTCCGCTCAAAATCAATCTTGAAAATAAAGATTCAACTAAAAAGGGTTCGGTGGAAACACTTTTAAGTAACTGTCAGAAACCCAAGTGCGGCCCGAAGCTGAGGAGACTCAGCATCAAAAGCAAAAGCAAAGTCTGCTCTGAGGCCCCTGCTGCTAATCCTGCTAAGGCTGGTGGGGCAGACCACAGGAAATCCTTAATTTCACCCCAGACCTCCCACAGAATGCTTTCCAAGGGAGCGTCACACCGGTTTCACATAGCTGACCAAGAAGAACATGACAAAAACACCACAGACACCCCCCAGGCTCCCCAGTGTGTGCTGGAGAGCAGGCCACCACTGGCTGCCTCTGGGTCACTGAAGGCCTCCGCATCAGACACGAGCATCAGCACATTCATTTCCCCCCTGACCTCCCCAAAGACGCTTCCTGAACAAAGCACGTATAACCGGTTCCACGCGGCTGTCCACTCAGAATCCACCAGAGGTTGCCCAGCGACCCCCAGATCTCCCAGGTGTGGACCAGAGGGCAAGGCACCCTGTGCTGTCTCTGGGCTGGTGAGTCCCGCAGCGTCCAGGAGCAGTGTGTCCCTGGCAGGGGTCAGACAGAGTGAGCCACGCACATCCAGTCAGATGGTCTCAGTGTCAGATGCAGCCCAACCCAGGGGGACCAGTGAAAAAGGAAGCAAGAGAATTGCTAGTGATCCCCTGGAAAGAACAAACCAGCTGAAAATAGTTGAGATTTCTTCTGAAAGAATGCCAAAGAATGCATGTGGTGACAAGCCTGCTGAAAGTGACAGACAGGGAGGGTTCTTGGCCCAGGGCAACTGTCAGGAGAAGAGTAAAATCAGATTCCACCAGTCAGTGGAATCATCCCCAAATCATCCATCCTCACTCGTGCCTCCTGCCCCCCAGGTGGAGCAGGAAATGCAACGATCCTTCAGTGTGGCCAAACTGGCTTCCTCCTCCTCCCCTCAACTGCCTGCTAAAAAGGCAGATCCCTCCCAGGGAAGATCAAGCCTGATGTCAGACTCCCTCCGGATGCCCAAGAATGACATACCAATGGCCCCTGCTGGGGAAGACCATCCCTACTTCACCCCAAGGCCAGCCACCAGGACCTACTCCATGCCAGCCCAGTTCTCAAGCCATTTCGGACGGGAGAGTCATTCCCCGCACAGCCCTGGTCGCTCCCCTAGGAATGGCCAGGTCCCTGTAACTAGCACGGGTCTCCCTGAGGCAAAGGCATCCAAAGGCAGTATTCTCAGCCTGGCCAATGGACAGGCTGTATATAGTGTCAAGCCTTTGCAGGAAATGTCAAAGAATGTCCCAACCATAGAGGAAGGCGACATCACCGCAGTCCAGGAGACAAGCTGCCTTGTCACAGACAAAATCAAAGTCACCAGGAGGCATTACTACTATGAGCAGAACTGGCCCCATGAATCTACCTCATTTTTCTCTGTGAAACAGAGGATCAAGTCTTTTGAGAACCTGGCCAATTCTGACCGGCCCACCACCAAGTCCGGGGCATCCCCATTTTTGTCTGTAAGCTCCAAGCCTCCCATTGGCAGGCGGTCATCTGGCAGCATCACTTCAGGGAGCCTTGGCTACCCAAGTGATGCAGCAGCGAGGTCACTGAGACGCAGCTTGAGTTCCTGCAGCGAAAGCCAAAGTGAATCCGGTGCTCTTCTCCCACCGATGACCAAGTCGCCGTCTAGCATGACTTTGATTGTCTCCCGGCAGAATGCACCAGAGACCAGGAACAAGGTTCCAGATTCAGACCAAAAGAAATCGCTTGTTCCTCTGGGAATCCCCACCCCAACTGTGACTCCAGCCTCTCCCATCAAGAAGAACAAGTCCTCGGTGCGCCACGCCCAGCCCTCCCCTGTGTCCCGCTCTAAGCTGCAGGAACTGAGAGCCTTGAGCATGCCCGACCTTGACAAGCTCTGCAGCAGCGAGGACTACCCTGCAGGGCCCTCCGCCATGCTCTTCAAAACCCAGCTAGAGATCATCCCCAGGAGGTCGCTGGGCTCCCCCAGTGGCTCCCCAACTGCAGGCCTTCCTGGCCTTGATGGACCGGCCACCCTTTCATGTCCGGGGAAGGGTGGAAACAGGGCCTGTCCAGGAAGAAGCAGTCCTACAGCCAGTGAGCCTGCAGCACCCAGTTCAGCCAACGAGGTGGGTAAAACCACCCAGGACCTGCCTTCTGGAAAAAGCTGGTCAGTTAAGTAAGTATCTACCCTCCCTTTTGTTTAAATAAACTTACATTATTTTGGAATAGTTTTTAAGTTCATATGAAAGTTGCCAAGATAGTACAGGAAGCTCCCATGTACCTCTCACCCAGCTCTAACTGTTGTTAACATCCCACATAACCACGGTCCATTTGTCGAAAGTAAGAAATTAACATTGAGCAATCCTATTAACCAAACTACAAAGTCTATTCAGATTCCGCTAAATAAATTTCACTAATGTCCCTTTTCTATTCCAGGATCCAATCCAGAGTACCACATTGCATTTAGCCTCCTCTGTTTTCAATATAGTTACGGGAAACAAGTGCCTGCAGGGAAGAGTTTGTCAAAATGCTGCCCCGAGTAGCACATTCCCCAGGCACGGCACTTACTAAGCAAAAGCAACCTGCAAGGGAGATGGGAAGGAAGAGAAGGCTGCACCTCAGGGGGGAACCTGGGCTGTGGAAAGTGACTGCAGTCCAATGGGAATTTCCAGCATATTTTAAATGTTTCACCTGAGCCTACATATTAAATATTTTACATGTCAGAGTGTCCTATTAAACCCCTGTATCCATCCCCTAACATCTTGGAGGAATCCCTGAACCCAGAGCACTCCTATTACTATTGTCAAAAATTGTCCCAATAATTGTCAATGTGAAGGACATTCCTGCTCAGCATTCAGGGCCCTTAGTTTGGAGTGGGAGTTACAACTAGAAGAAAACATAAGCAGCAGCACCTCAGAAAATAACTGCCATATATTTGAATAGCATTCATTTCAAATGCATCCTTAGAAAATGGAAAAATTGCTTCCTCCTTTAATGTTTTCAAAATATACTTGTTATTTAGTTTGGATCAACTTGAAGTCTCAGTGGGGGACCAGCAGAGATTACAGGCTGTTTTGTCATCGGTGGGATCAAAATCTTCCACCCTCACTCTCATTCAGGAAGCGAAAGCACAATCAGAGGTGAGTGAAATGCAGAGGGTGCACAAAAACGGCAGCAGCATTAGTGGCCAGGTGCCCGTCGCCTGCTCTGACAGCCAAGGAGGGCGCGTCTGGTCCTGGAAGGCCTGGCTGGGCTGGGAATTCTACATCTCAGTCGGACTCTTGCCTCGTTTGCTGCCAGCTGGCTTCAGAAGCTAGACCTTCATGGAAAGTTCACATGCCATATTGGTGTCACTGCTATTTTAATTCCCTGGTAGCAAGTTACCACCTTTCCCACCCCCAGATTTGGAGTTTGTCTGCAGAGGGGCTTCTAAGCAGGACTGTGAAATGCTTCCAATGACCAAAGTCCCTCCAGCCACTTCACTGTGCACATTAACTAGTGAAGGGCGCCACCTGCAGGTAAAAGAAACAGTTACACCAATACAGTCCTCCTTGTATCCTGAGGCCTCGGAGTTTGGGAACCCCTGTATAAGACAAAGGAGCTAATTACAAATAAAGTCTTTAAATGAATCGGATGTAACAATAACAAAAGAGAGGATGGCATCACATATAGAATACTACTCTGAAGAATAAAAGCTTCTCAGGACTGTTCATAGAAATTCGAAACCTAAGAGTTGAATATTAGGAAAATGCAAATATGAACAAATTTTTCTTTCCTAGTAATGTATTTGGCTTACTAACTTCATCTACAAACACTGTTCTAAAAATTAAAATATTACCCAAAGGATGCTATTTGAGGTTTATTATCTAACAGTCTTGCCATTTTTTTTTTTTTTTTTTTTTTGGCCATACTAGGAATTGAACCCAAGGGTGCTCTACCACTGAGCCACACCTCCAGCCCTTTTTAGTTTTTGAGACAGTGTCTCAGTAAGTTACCCAGGCTGGCCTTGAACTAGCAATCCTCCTGCCTCAGCTTCCTAAGTGGCTAGGGTTCCAGGCATATGCCACCCCACCTAGCCAGCTCTGGCAGCTAATAAGCTGGCAGGGATGGTGAGCACAGGGGGAAGAGGGGAGATGATACCCTTTTAGTTTCACCTCCCCTCAGAGTCTCAGCCCACTGGTTTGGGTGTGTGCAGTTAGGAAACACCTGGGCACCAAGCAGTTTTCACTTTCAGTGAAAGGAAGTAGTCCATCTCTCGCTGCCTTCTTGGACTTGTCATTACAGTAAGCAAGCATCTCACGCAGGAAGAGTCTCAGATCTCTATCAAGGTGGGAAGGGTGGGGTCACCCTCAGCCAGGACCCTCTGCTCCGAACATTTTATTTACAGTGTTAGATAATGTGGAGAAAGAGAAAAACAGTCTAAGCCAGCCTCATACACCAGGTGCCCATTACAGGAACCAGAAATAAAGTGGTGACTTTTTCTATGGACAGGATGCCCAGTGCTGCCCTTGCAGCCATCGTCTGAGGCCTCCCTCCCTCTGGTTTGATATACATCCCCAGTGTGGCTTGGTGTTGAAGATCAAGCCTACTTTCATCAGAATACAGCTCTCTCGCGCGTTCTCTCTCTCTCTCTCTCTCTCTCTCTCTCTCTCTCTCTCCCCCCCCCCCCCCCCCCCATCCTTCCCCCTTGTTTGCTTATTGTGTTCCCAAGCTGATTTCAGAGAGGAGGGGTGAGCAGAGACCACCTCATTCTGCCATCTTCACACTAGCAGTTTTCTGCCTTGTTTTTTTTCCAGTGAGTATGGTTTGCAGGTGCTAAAAATGGAACTGTACAAAACTACTTCACAGCCTTTGGTGGTGCTGTGAGAGATGACAGAGGTCATCTCACAACCATCCCTGGTCTTCTGACTTCAGCACACCCAAGCCTTGAAGAGCACTTCATGGTTCATCTGGCTTCCGGGGTACTGTGCTGAGCTTCTCAAGCAAAATTTGGCCAGTTAGCCAGCTTCTAGCACACTGGTATCCTCACACACCCTGGAAAAAAACAATTTGAATGAATTAAAATATTGGTGACAACAAGTACTGCATTATAGGAGCTCTATCTTCAAATGTTCTGTCGCTTTGTGGTTAAATACCTGGGAAATACTCATATTCCATATTCATATTTCTTTACCTTCCAGAAGCTACACAAAAATCATTTACTGCCCACGTGTTTCCATTTTTGTTTAGAAGCCCAGTAGACATCCTTCTGTCTACTGATGTGTGCTTGGGCACAGGTATGGCTGAAGGACATTCTGGTATCAGCACATGTGCCTTGGTCCGAATCAGCTTCTTAGGAAAGAGAGAAAATGCTTAGAAATTAGCCCTTGTGACTTCCTAACAGGACCAAACACTTTCTTTTACCAGGTTCTCTCCCTTGCTGTTATAGAGTTGGTCTTCTGTCTCAGCTGTTTTCTTTCATCAAATCCATCTTTAAGGGTTATTTTTAGACTTGTTCTAGTGCTATATTTGAGAACACCTTGAAGTGATGGATTATCAATCACTTCATAAGAAAAAAGAACAATGCAGATCTTTAAAATCTTGCTGAATCACATGTCACATGTGGGTGAAGGAAATAAGTTCAGAATAATTAGCCCAGCCAGTTTATTTATTTTAAAATCTTTTATTCCAAAAATATCTTTGGATGCGCGAGACAGGGACAGTCTTCTGGTACTTAGTCCTACGATACTACTAAGAATGCTTTAGTCTCAATATCAGTTGAGTATTAGTTTTAACATAGTTTTTAGGTATTTTCTTCTTTCCTTCCCAGGGATTGAACCCAGAGGTGCTCTACCACTGAACTACAGGGTTTGTTTTGAGACAAGGTCTGACTGAATTGCAGTGGCCAGAAATTAGGGATCTTTCTGCCTTAGCCTTCCAAGTCACTGTGATTATAGGTGTCCACCATCACCCCCAGAAACATACTTTGTTTTTTATATTCTGAGTATTTTAGGACTGCTAGTTAATTTGCACCTGAAATCTAGTAACTGAACGTGCCAGAAGTGAGCATATAAAACACAAGGCCTCTGTCACTTAATCTTTTTTGCGGCTGTTGAAATTGGCTTTGCTAAATGTAGATGTAAAGAATTCTAGAATAAGGAATTCCCTTCAAGGTGAAAGTCTGTGCTATAATCAGATTTAGGAAGATACAATCTGGTGCCTCAAATGGCTTGAAAACGTGGGAATGCTTAATGCCCCTGCCCACATCCTGGTTCATGTTCACCTTCCCAGGGGTTCCACAACTGCAGCATAGACCCTCAGAACTTTCCACTTAAGCACTACCCAGAAGGGGTGCAGGTTGACCTGGGGACTTCTCTGACATTTCTGTGTGAGCTAGGGAATCACTGAGGCCTGGGATGGGCACCTACAGGAGGATTTAAGTTGGAGCGTCTCATTCTTGGCACTGGGAATATACAGTAAATTGTTTTCCTGTTTCTCTTGACTAGAATAAAGAAGATATTTGCTTCATAGTCTTGAATAAAAAAGAAGGCTCAGGTTTGGGATTCAGTGTGGCAGGAGGGACAGATGTGGAGCCAAAATCAATCATGGTAAGTGACAGTGCCATTAGGATACAGATTGAACAGGACACAGATTCTGATTATAACATTCAAAGGCTACTGAGTTGTGTTAGCTACTACTTACACAGAAATGGAAACATGGAGGAAGTAGTTCACAGTATTTTCATTGACAAAGAAGACTGACATATGACTGACATGTATAGACCACATGTCAATACATATAAGCACAGTTATCTATATCCTTATAACTTGCCTAAATATCTTATTTAAGCACTAGAAAAACCTGAGGATCAACTGACCTAACTTAAATTCACTTATAAAATCACTTCTTTCCAAAGAATAGTAATGTAAGATATTTTATCACTCAGAGGCCTCGAGATCATGAAGGCCACTTTCATTGGTCTCATTTGTCCTTGTATTCCTGTTGCCTCACGGATGCCACACACATTAGACACTAACAAGAAGTTGAGTAAAAAATATGTGCTGGTATTGACATTTGTAATTCCACGTCCCGCACTGAATGATTTTGATCAACTTAAATATTTGTCATGAATAAGAAAACTTGTCATGAGGAACTTGTCTTCACTACAGAGTAGCAGTTGCTGTCTTGCCATCCCTGGAGGTCATAAATGGATTCTAGCTTTTGTTCCCCTTTCCTTTCTCCTTTCCAGGTCCATAGGGTATTTTCTCAGGGGGCGGCTTCTCAGGAAGGGACTGTGAACCGAGGGGATTTCCTTCTCTCCATCAATGGCACCTCGTTGGCTGGCTTAGCCCACGGAGACGTCTTGAAGGTTCTGCATCAGGCACAGCTGCACAGACATGTCCTCATGGTCATCAAGAAAGGGAATGAACAGCCCAGATCCTCCTCCAGGCAGGAGCCTCCCATGGCCAATGGAAAGGGTTCGCTTTCCAGAAAAACCATGTCTCTGGAGCCTGGAACTGGTAAGATATCAGTTCAATAACCAGCATTCTGGTTAGACATTAAAAAAATAATGGCCAGTTCCTGAATCAGAAAAAGTGAATGTAGTGAAATATAGTGTTTGGGGATGCTTCCTGCAAAAGAAGTATTACAAACAATTTTGTTTAAAACTCCGTAGTGAAAGCCACACTGCTGAAAATTACTTGGCAGCTTCTCTCAACATCCTAAGGAGACACCATCATATTTACATCTCTTTGTTAGAACTTAAGTGGCTGGTAAGTAAAATCAAGGAATTCTTGTGACAGGGAAAATCCGTATTGAAGGAGAAATTCAAGAATGAGATTTGTCCCTGGGAAACATCAAGGTTGAGATTTTTTTCCTGTTTTGTAAGAACATAAGGAAATGAAAGAGCAAACATGTTTTTGTGTTTGAAAACAGACTGCAGCCTTCATCTGCTGAGAAGTATTTGCTACAAGGGATTCTCTGTGCCCCTCTGCGAGGTACTGCCTCAACACCAAGTACGCTTGTTTCTGACCACAGGCTGATTTCAGCCTCCAGAGAAGCACTGCACCCAGTGTCCTCCGCCTCTGCATTTGGGAATGACCTCTCTCTAGTCCAGAAGGCAGACAAGATCTACTGGAGTTGAGTTAGGCCACTGCCTTCTGGGAGGGGCCTTTTGCTTTCTTTTCAGCATCTCCCCCTGATGATCAAGGGTAGCTGAATGTCTCTGCTAAACTTGGCTTCACTGTGGCCTGAGCAATCTGTAAAGATTTTGCTGAAAATGGATTTGATTCCATTGAACAAATGAGAAACTCTACCTGTCGAGATTCCGACACAGTGGCTCTTCTGTTTTCCACTCCTAGAGAGCTGACACCTTTCCCAACACACGGAAACACCTTCCTCATCAGACTGATGCTCACCTTTGCCCCAGCACTCTCCAGTGGTTGGAGTATTTTCAGTGGGATCCTGGGGATTCAACCTATCAAAGGAAACATTTGGCACTTAATCCTAATAGCTTCCAGAGTTTTTGAGATTTACAACTCAAGAGAAGACCATCTTATTATCACTTATAATCCTGAAGTATTTCTGTAGCACCTCCAGACCACTGACCTTGAACCAGACCCAGCAGCATTATCCAGCTGTCAGCACCTTGAGGGCTGAAGCTCATTGCTATTCTTTGGGGTTTCCCTGCCCTGGGGCTCCCTGGTCCTATGCAGTTATTTTTTGGCAAACACTGACAGCATCTGATTTAGGCCTGATATGATAAGTTGCACATTGGAGATACCTGGAAAGCTTTGTCCAGAAAATTCCTCAATGAAATCAGAATGCTACGGAGTGGGGACCTGGCATCAGCACCTCTTTAATGTTCCAAGTGATTCTGGGAGGCAGGGCGCCCCTGGATGGGTTTTTTGTTTTTCTGTTTAACAGGAAGTAAAGTCACCTATTGAAAAATTGTGCCACTCCCCGTATTAGTAAATGTCCTTCAGACCATGTGCTTTGGCTTTAAGCCGCAATAATGATTTATGTTCAAAGGTGATGATGCTAGCTAGCTCCGCCTCCGCCCTAACAAATGTGGTTAAGTGGGCCCTTTAATTCCTTTGTGGTCCTTCCCCTGCCTCCCGAGCAACTAAGTGCACCTTTCCACTCAACTCTAATATCCTTGGCTGGAACAGCACAGAAGAATCATTAAAAGGCGAGTTTACAATTCCTACTCGGACCTCAGCCTGGCCTCTCCAAACTAGCACAGAGTGGGCGCCAGTTCCTCGCAATGGAGGAGGTGTAACCATGGAAACGCTTCTCTCCACTGTGGAGCCAGATGCCAGTGAAGGCAGCCGTGCCTGGAGGCAGGATTTCCCCTCATAGGAGCATGATGCAAGGAAGGAAGCCCTGCTCAGTCCCAGGGAGCTTCTGAGTCAATTATGACAGCCCTCATGTGAGGCCAGGCACTTTGGTACTGCTGCTTTTAGTACCAGACGGTGACACTCTGCGGCACAGAATTCAGGGTTAGCAGGAAATCCAATTTGATTCCCTAAGTGTTACTTCCATCCTCACTAAGATGCGTACCATCAAGCCCTGGGCTTGGCAAGAGCAGTATTTTCTGGGGATTTCTGCTTGGGTGTAAAAGCATTCTCCACACTTGCGGGAAATACACAGGAGAGCAGAATACGTAAGCACAGCAGGAACGTAGCCAGGCAGGCAGCCACATGCTGGAGACCAGCCTGAATGCTGAGCCCAAAGGTTTTGCTGAAAGTACTTCATGGGTTACAGGACTTGAGGGTGGCAGGAGACTATAGTGGGAGTAATGCATTTGGGGGCGGGTCATTGGGCATGTGGCACAATGAGCAACCCTGTCATTTTTATCCTGATAAATATCATTGCTGCAGGGAGAAGCGGAGCTGCTCCTGGTGCTCTGTGTGTTGAAGTGCTAAAGACCTCAGCTGGGCTGGGACTGAGTCTGGATGGAGGAAAATCATCCATATCTGGAGATGGGCCCCTGGTCATTAAAAGGGTGTACAAAGGTAATGTCCGGGGAAGCTCAGCCAGCCTCCTCCTACCATTTCCACATGTCTCCATGAAAAATCAGTGCCTTCCATTGGAAATCAAACTTGATTTGATTTTGTTATTTTTATTTTGTTTTATTTTATTTTAGTATTGGGGATGGAACCCAGAGAGACTTTACCACTGAGCTATATCCCCAGCCCTTTTTATTTTTCACTTTGAGACAGGGTCTCACTAAGTTGCTGAGGCTGGCCTCGAACTTCAGATCCTCTTGCCGCAGCCTCCCAAGTCAGGCATGCACCACTGTGTCTGGCTTCACACTCGTTTTTAAAATTCTAAAATGTCTTTAATGCTTTTGACATGTAGGGATTATTCTGGGTCATCCATGTAGTTTTTTACACATATTAAAACTCATGCTGTATCCATGTAACAGCCTGTCAGGTGACTAACAAGCTAAGTAACGCCATCAGACTCACCAGTCAGGAGCACTTAATACCAGCCAAGATCTCTCTAACTGAAAATACTAGACTGCAAGATGGGGACTGGGGTTGTGGCTCAGTGGTAGAGCATTTGCCTAGCGTGTGTGAGGGTTAGGGTTCAGTCCTCAGCACCATATACAAATATATAAAAATAAATGTTCATTGACAAGATTTATATATATATGAAAATAGGAGGTAGATCTTATTGAAATGATCAGTAAAGATGAGGTTTCTTTGTGAACTTGGATAATTCATTTTATGATCTTGAGCAGCTTTCAAAAATCTCTTCAGATTCCTAAACTGAATAACTATATTAATGATATAATTGTAATATTATTATGTATTGACATTGTTGGTACAGAGTAGAAACCCATTAAAGTGGGCTGGGGTTATGGCTCAGGGTGCTTGCCTAGCATGTGTGAGGCACTGGGTTCGATTCTCAACACCACATATAAATAAATGAATAAAATAAAGGTTCATCAACATCTAAAAAATATAAAAAAAACCATTAAAGTTAAGAGAATGTTACAAAATAAGTAAGTCAATAAATAGTAACATCAGTTCTTAGCTAAGGATTTTTTTTATTATTTTAATGACCACAAGTCATTAGTTACTGACCTTTGGTGTTTTTCTATAATTATATAGTAATTTTGAAGCCTTTCTCCACTCCTGACACACAGCACTAATAGTAAAAAAAAAAAAAAAAAAAAAAAAAAAAAAATTCTTCAATATAGAGCTGTGCTTTAAAAAACAATCTCCAGCGCTCTCAGCCTTACCCCATCTTCTAGGAAACCTTGAGAGCCACATGGAGGAAGAAGCAAATGCACAGGGTGAAGTGCTTGTGAACTGCTCACCTGTTTAACCCAGAGGCCACAAGAACCAAAATAAGGGCCTCTGGGGGCCAGGGAGGCTGGCCCAAGTCGTTGACGGCATGCTGCTATGCTGCTGTCTAGAAGTTCTTTGAGTGGATCTAGACCTTCACTGCCATCGAGTTGCCAAGACTACCTCTGAGAGCACCTGCGCACACAATAACCTTCTCTGTTGGTCATTTGCCCTGACCTTATGACATTCTGAACTAGTTCTATTCTCCATTGTGGCCAAGAGCAACACATGAACACTAAATTATCTCTTCTGCTAACTTAGCTGAAGAATGGGGGGTGGGGGAACCTCTATGGATCAAAAGTTGAAGTGAAATCCATAGTGACAGGTAAGCAGGGCTGCCACCCTGTGGCCCAGAGGAAGCAGGAGATGGGAAACAGGCAGTGGAAGCTGGGGCTCCAGTGTCCACCTAGGAGTAGGAGCTGAGCACCTCCTGAATTTCTGGACAACTGGAACCAGGCATCTTGTGAAGGGAAGGGCTGATCTGTTCTCCACCAGTCAGCTGTCTGCCCTTGGCCCTACCAGCAGGCAGAAGACAGGCACGTATCAGGAGTCGGGCCTCTGCTACGTGGTGTCTGAACTTAACAGTGCCAAGGTAGAGAAACCGCATTCGTTACTCATCTAGTTGACAGAACAGTAGACAGAGAGCTGAGCTAAGGCAAGCATGAAGCAACTTAACTATAACAGCACTGGCAAGGGACAGCTCTCGGAGTACACAGGACGTGGAGATCCATTGCCGGGAGCCCCATGAATAGGAAAGCCCATTAAAAAATAAAGGCAGGAATAATATCCAAGCATCAAGAGCGTATCCAAAAGGAGCAGAGATGTTAAAAAAACAAATGCCCACACACACCTTTAATGAAAATGAAGTCAAATGTATTTTTAATTAATAAAAAAGTAGACTGAATTCATATAAGGACAGAATTTGTAAGAATAGTGATAGAAGAAACAATTTAAACTACAAAAGGGTAAAAGGGATAAGGACTTTCAGAAGGAAAAGACAGATGAGAGGAAATATGAGGAGAAACTGTAACTAAGACTTTTCCAAAACTAAAAACAGGAGTCCTCAAACTGGGGCGGGGGAGGGGGGGAGATACATCATCAAGGGCAAAACAGGCTGCATATATAAAAACCCAAATCATGTAAAGAATAATGTGGAAATCTAAATAGCCAACAGATCAGTTCCTCAGCATGAATGCCAAAAGTTAACAGAGTAACACCTACAGAAGACAGAGGGCAACTGCTGTCCATCTACCCACTAAGCCATCACTCCAGAGGAACAGCTGAATGGAACTCATGAAAGGAGCTGGAGTCGCTGCCTCCAGGGCCAGTCACAGGACAGCCTCCATAGGCTAAGAAGCACACAGCAGGCGGGGTGGTGTTCGACTCCTGTAATCCCTGCAGCTCAGGAGCCTAAGGCAAAAGGATTGTGAGTTCAAGGTCAGCCTCAGCAACTTAGCAAGGAAGGCCCTAAATCTAAATAAAATATTAAAAAGGGCTGGGGATGTGGCTCAGTGGTTAAGCACCCCTGGATTCAATCCCTGGTACCAAAAAAAAAAAAAAAGACATAGCTAAAAAAGGTGTCCAAGGCCAATGTACCCTAATCCCAGAGCTACAAATGGCTTAGCACCCAATCTGACTGGGGAGCCTGTGCTCAGTTTTAGAATTTGCAGCATTTTCAATTTTCAGATTAGAGATGCTCAGTTGGTGAAGTCTATCCACATATTTCAAAATCTAAAATACTTCTAGTCCCAAGCACTTCAGTTAAGGGAAATTTAACCTGTACTGACTTTTTGTGTAAATCTAATCTATTACCGCCCCCCCAAAAAAATTTTTTTAAATAACTAAATATTGTATCTCCCTTAAAGGTCAGAAATTGTATCCATGACCAAATTAATAAACAGTTATTTTTAACTCCTTATGTGCAGCAGCAGCCACCCAAGAAAAAGTTAGAACATCGTCACTAGTACAATTCTGGGTCTTGGCTTCTTCTGAAATGTTTCTCCTTTCATCATTTTACCAAATAACTCAGCAATACATAATCCAAAAACAAAAAAAATTGAAAACTGGAAGTATAGGAATATAATTGGAAAACTGTTCATACTTCCTGACGGGGAGGAGGGGAGAAGAAGAAGAACCTAAGATAAATCTAATATCAGGCCAATGTGAATAGTTCACCAAACTGAAGAGTTCACAATCAATATACAGAGATCAACAGAACTTCTCATACGTTAGCAATAACCATTATTTTTAATTCACACGGGAAGATTTATTCAACATAACAGAAAACCATCTTTAAAAAAAAAACAATCATATATCACTTAACAACAGGGATAGATTCTGAAAGATGCACTACTAGTCAACTTAGTTGCCACAGGAACACCACGGTGTACTTACACTAAGATAGCCACGCCACTCTAGGTGATGTAATATTATGGTACCACCATAGTATATGCAGCAAGTCACTGACCAAAATGTCATTATGTGACACTTTTGACAGCAGAAGGTTTAATACATGGGGGGGAAAAAAGTCTGAGCAGATATAAAAATACAAGTGACTGACTAGAAGAACATCTATTGTATTTAATCAAAAAAAGGTTACTGAATAAAAAACTATAATTCAAGAAAAATACAAAACATCTGGTGCAGTGGTGCACACCTGAATCCCAGCTACTTGAGGGGCTAAGGCATCAGGATCTCCAGTTCCAGCTAGCTTGACAACTTTCCTGTTTCAAAATGAAATTTCTTTAAAAGGACTAGAGGAATAGCTCAGCACGAGAGTGCTTATCTAGTCTGTACAACGCCCTGGGTTCAGTAACTGCAAAAAAAGAAAAGGAGAAAGAGAAAGGAAAGAAAAAGAAGGGGGAAAAAACACAACTAGACTGGGTCCAGCGGCACATGCCTGTATTCCCAGCTGCTGAGAGGATGAGGCAAGAGAGCTGCAAAACCGAAGCCAGTCTGGGCAGCTGAGCAGGACCCTGTCTCAAAATTAAAAGAAAAAAATTTTACAGGGATGTACCTCAGTGGTACAATGCTTGCCAAGCATACCAGAGACAGAGTTCAATCCCAGGCACACTAAAAATTAAAAATTCAGGTTACAAGGAAGCATAGAAAATTAACAAATGTTAAAAAAACCTAAATGGCCAAGAAACACAGAAGGGCAAACTTAAATTAATTGTGGGATGAAAATTATGACAACTATCAGGAATCGTTTTTAATGTCAGGTTGGCCAAAAATAACAAATCTCGTATGTTGTCAAGAATGCAGAGAAAAGAAAGCCCTCGTTACTTCCAGTGGAACCACTTATTGGGTCATCTCTCGGGGGAAATGTGGTAGGACTTACTAATATGAAGCCATGAAATAGCTTACCATTCTGTAACAGAACGGAAGACAACATAAATTCATAAAAAAGGAAAGCAATATGGCAACATAAAAAAGGAAAGCAATATGGCAACTTAAGAAATACATTAGATCTTTGTACACTAACCAAGACCAGCTCAAAAACAGCATAAACTGGGTAAAAAAAGCCAAATGCAGATTCTGCTCGGTTTAATACCAATTCATAATAACAACAGCAAAAACCTAAGAAAGTGTTAAAATAAACCTATGGAAGATGAGTTGGAGAAATAGCATAAAAGCCAGATTCCCAAAGGATGTTTTTTAAAACTGAGTAAATGAGGAGAGAGACCTATCCTGCTCAATCAGGATTTGTTTGGCCTCATGAAATATCAACCTTAAGATAGCAGAGGTATAAACCAAAGAGAAGTTTATTTTTCACTCCTTTAAAGTCCAAAAGCTGGTATCACCTTTGGTTTGCACAGTATGGAATGTTTCCTGAAGGATTTTCATGTAGTTCATCTTATTCAATCCTTTCACCAACCTAGTAAGATAACAGGGCAGATATTACTGAAACCATATTTTGCAGATGAGAAACTTGTTTAGAGGAATTTGTAACTTGCCCATAGACACAGACTGGAGACCACAACGCAGCTGTAGTCCATGTAGGTGTGCCCCGTAGGTGTGCATCCCACTAACATAGGCTTCTGCTTTGGTTGTTTGGAACACTCCACGTCTTAGACCCAGGTGAAGACTCCAAATCACTTGTTTTCATATGACCTTCTTGAGGCCTTCAGTTAATATTCTAGAACAGGAATATTGGATGTACTAACATAACTATAACTGGTTATGCCAAACAACAGTGCTCTGGTTCCTCCAGGAATTTATAAAAAAGCAGTGACTGCAACCAGCTCCTTCTCTTTGTTCCACTATGGAGCTGATGTGAGGCCTAGACTCTTCTATGATATCTGCCTCTATCATTCCCATAGAAAATACTTCTGTCCTTGGGTGGACTAGATTTGGACTTACTTTCTTCCAGGCTGTATTTTTATCAAATTTGGTTAAAAAAAAAAAAAAACCTTTATGTATAAATATTTAATGACTTTCAGATCATCACAATGAAATACATACATCTACTCAGTCTTTTGAGATCTAATTAAGATTTCTAAGAAAATGAATTTTTACTTTCATACTTTGGAATTTTTTGATGTCATTTTGTCATGATAAAATGATTCCAGCCAATGTGCATTTTTTCTTCAATGCGATGTTTGTTTTCGATGTATACGTGCAAGAAAGTAGGTGGAGAAAGCTTAAACTTTTTTTCAAAGCTCACGAATTTGCTATAACCTACAAAAAGCTGTAATGAAGAAATATTTGTTTGCAGAGAATCAATTAAGTAGCTTCCAGTCACTGGTGAGCAGATGATTCCTGCTTCTCAGAACTTGAATGTTTCAGCCAATATCTGTTAACAATTGGAAGTTGAGCCTATTTCCCTGAATTCACTGGCTATTTAACTACTGATTTCCTTTGCCTAACTTTTTTTCATTTTGTATTGTTTTATTGGTTTGTAGTTCTTCATCTAGTAATGGATACTAACCCTTTGTTGGATACATTTAAATTCTCACCCCCTTGTCAGTCGCTTATTTTTGTCTTGTATTTTGGTGGTGGGGGGGGATGAGAAAATTGATTTTTTTTTTAATGTAATCCAACTGATTTTTTATTGGTATTTGTGTTTTGTAGCCTAAGAAATAGTTCCCTATTTTAAGAATATAGGCATATATCATTTAGAGCTTCTCCTCATTTAAATTTTAGAAATTTTGGAAAGCTATGAAATTTCCAAACCCTCATTCTGCATTTGTTCTGACAGGTGGTGCAGCAGAACAAGCTGGAACAATAGAAGCTGGAGATGAAATTCTCGCTATTAATGGGAAGCCCCTGGTTGGGCTCATGCACTTTGATGCCTGGAATATTATGAAGTCTGTTCCAGAAGGACCGGTGCAGTTAGTAATTAGAAAGCATCGGAATTCATGAATTTCAACATGACTCTTTGTTTTCTCAGTTCTTTCCTCATTTTAGCAAATCAGAATGACTTCTTTAAATGACAGGTTCTTGAAACGACAAATAGTATAGACGAAAACTATAAAAATCTCCAATTTTTTTGCTTTTCCACGAAGCCTGACCTGTTGTGTTGCAGCAGCAATGAAGTTGAACTCTGGAAGCCTGCAGGGGTCGTTTGGTTCTAGTGCCTATGCCCTCCTTTTATGTTTGCATCGAGGACACAAGAGGTGACATGCTCTTCTTCATCTGAAACACCTAGCTACACCTTCACTTCCCTCCTGCCACCTCTCCCAACATACAGTCCTGGTGCAAAGAGACCGGATGGGTAACACAAATGTCACAGCTAAAAAGACTAGTTTTATATAATTTTTTAATTAAGTGACATGCTTTTAGGCACAGTCAATGGAAGGAAGAGCTGTAAGTCTATATATGTTATCCTGAAAAGAAAATAAGGCTTAGAAAAAAAAAATGAAATTATGACCTAATCATTAGGCTGAGCTCAGGAATTATCTAAATAATGAAAAGGCAAAATAAAGAAACTAATATTTTTTAACTAGTGTAATGTACAATATATGGGTGCAGAGTTCAATTCAATGGGTCACTGACTATGAAGTAATGATCACCTTCTAGTTCTCCAAGGTTAAGTCAAAGGCTGCTTTACAGTATAACAGTTCCAAAAACTGCACTAAACAGCCGTGAGCTTCACTGCTTACAAGGAGCAGGGAGTTGCAGATCTGAAAGCACCTTGCATCTGGTTTTCAAACCTGTCTTGGATAAGTGCTTAAATTCAAGACTGGACAACACAAAGCAGACAAAACTATCAGCCATGGGTTTCCACTTCTATATTTCATGCACTCCAACCACTCATTTCAAGTAAATTTTTAGAAGTATCTTTTTAGTGTCCTTAGATTTATAAGCAAAGGTATTCTATTTACAAATCCAAATTGAGCAGCATATATTAATCCTTTTGAGAAAAACTTTGGGTTGGTTTTTCTCTGCTTTCCCAGCACTTAAGAAATGTGACGTTTCTAGTTAATGGATCTCTTGTTTCTAGTTAATGGATTTCTTGACCTGGTATAACAAAACTCTATAATGACTGAAGTTGTTGCTGTGTATTCCTGTTTTGCAAATTCTTCCTTTTGCTAAAAGTATTTTCCTCCAGAAGAATGTGACTCATGCTGCTTGTGAACACCCCCCAGCTGCCATAAGCTTCTTCAAAGTACCCATTCTTATCCCATGTGCCATTCCCCTGTGACAAAGTTGGCTTTTCTCCCCTTGCACTATACCTTATTTTCCTAAATTCCAAAGCCTCATCAGCTTTGTTTACCAAAATGTAAGAACGAGGAAGAAAATGGAAAAACAGGGTGAGTCACTGTCAAGGTGAAGGAGTATGTAGTATTTACAACTTAAATCCTCGGGTGGTAAGAAGCCAGCCCACTGAGTCCTGGAAATACGGGTGGAGATTGTATTTGTCATACCTGCATGCATGATTCTAAGATTTTATGTTGGTGATTTTAAAAAATAACCTACAGCCAGGTAAAGGGCTATAAGTCCCAGATCATGGAGATACTTGAGCTGTCATCTATATACATCATTTTTCTGAGGACCAATTCTGCTAAAGATCTGTGAAGTTGGCCCAGTGAGGTCCCTCAGATGGGAGTAAAATACCTGGCTTGTCTGAGCCCAGATTTCTCATTTTTCAACAGGTTATGCAAAGGAAAATATAGTGCAGCAGTTAGCTAGAAAAACCTGATTGATTAAGCTTAGATTCTAATTTTCATTACAGTTACAGGTAGGATATTATAGGAAGTCAGTGCAAGGTGCATGCTAGATTATTTTTGAAGTCTCTGGGGTCAATTTCATGGTTTCTACTTCTTGCCTAAAAATTAAGAGACTACTTGAAGTCAATACTGAAAACCATTTTTTGCCTCTACTTTTACAGCTTTGCCTTTAAGAAATGTAGAATCCATCATAAAACTCTAATAGTAAAGAAATGCACACTTCTATGTGAACAGACAGAACTTTCTAGAGCAATGGCATTACAAGGGTGGACCTCTGGCTTCTCATACCAAGTCATCAGCTATTTCTATTCCATCGTGCCAGAAGGATTCCCTGACCAACAGTAGGAATTTAAGGGAAGAAGCAAAAGCTGAATTTTGATCCTGAGAGATAGAAAGCTATTTATTTGTCTTCAGTGTTCAAGGCATGACTAGTGTTTCTAATTAGTCTAATAAGCTCCCACGCTTCCTGAAGTGAACACTATAGTATTGTCCTACTAAAACTCAGTTTGTTTTTTTTAAACTGGTCAGTCATTCACAGTAAGCTATGAGGGTAAATGTGTCATAACATGTAAATCGTAGTTGCAAGAATATACCGTGAAAGCTGAGGAGGTTGGGTTTCATTTCCACCCTCCCACATGCATCTCATTGAATTGTATGGTTTGACTATAATTGGCACCACACTTGTTGTATATTATACATTATCCTTTATTTATGTAAAATAAAATGCCTTATATATTAAAGAGTAAGTGCAATAATATGAAATAGCCTGTACATTTTTAAATGTTGTTGCCAAGTTATGTAAATCCACATCTCTGTAAACAACTTTTTTAAGTAATTTTAAAAAAATAAACACTCTGCTTACTACTTGGCCTTTTTTTCCCCAACTGTTCTATATTTACAGAGTAATATCAAGATAAACAATGTCTGCTATAACCTAAATAGGTGAGAGGTACAAAGGCAAGATAACTGAAGTTAGCCATTATTTTTCCTGGTTACAATCAGAGCTTTGACAGAATCTAAAACCACTCTGCCTTTAAAATCTTAAACATTACCACAACCTCCTGGCTCTGGTCATCTCCTGGCTTCAATTACAACAAGGCCTTTACTCTCCTGACAACTGTCTGTTTTCTCCCCATCAGAATCCTATCCTTTCTTACTTCCTTCTCTTTTCAGACCAGACCCCATGGCAGGGGACAGCCCAGAGACTTTAGATCCTGTATGCCACTAACCAGTCTTTCCAGAAGTCCTGGATCTTCCCGACTGTCACATACCAAAAGTTGCCACAATAAATTCATAGTTTCCAACTTCAACTGGGCCCTTGATGCTGCTCAGTAACTGTTTCCTTGTCAGTTTTTTCTCTCATTTTTCACAATGACTATGTTCTTTATTTTTCTCAGAAACCCTACTTACTCACCTTCCCCCTCACACATGCATCATCTGGGATCCTGGTTCAGAGTGAAATAAAAAGCATCTATTTTATTTAGGCGTTTTTTGGTTTTAAGATACAGACACCAACCTAGAGTAGTAGCTCAAGGAAGAATGCAAGATGGAATCTCATAGAAATTTAAGAATGGGACCCAGCATGGGACTACAGGAACTCTAGGGTTCCGGGTTTTCACCCAACTCCTTCTACTGGTAGAGCTCCATGGTTGTGGGTCTCTCTCTGCTGGCCTACTATCTCCCAGCTGGCATCCTTATCCCCAGTCCTTAACTGTCACCTAGAAACCTACCATGAGTGCCATTTTGTCTTAATTTGGCCTACTTAATATCCCAGAATCTCTCTGGACATATACACCACAGTCTGCCTAAATTTCCAAAATATCCCAAATATAAGGCTCTGATATATTGGCTCATATATCAAATATATTGGCTCATCCCACCCCTACTTGGGTAATTTTTCCTCAGGAGAATATCTATTTACATAATTCTCTTCCCTGAAACCCACTGATGTGTGAAATGAACAAATACAAACAGGAAAACTCTACAGATATGGTGCATACCCCTAATCCCAGCAACTTAGGAGGTTCAGGCAGGAAGATCATCAAGGTCAACCCAGCAACTTAGGGAGAGCCTGTCTTAAAAAAATTTTAAATGGGGACTAGGGATGTAGCTCAAAGGTAAAGCACCCCTAGGTTCAATCCTCAGTACCAAGAACAAAAAAAAAAAATAAATTTAAAAAAGGAAACTGGAAACCTAGTTCTAATATGGAAATTGACATCACATATTCTATGAATGTGGAAAACTATGATATTCATTGTATAATAAAACCTAAGACCAAACTGAAGAACAATGGAATGGGAAACAATTCTCTCTAAATGAAAGAAAGCAAAAGTGGTATGAGAGTTTTGAGGAATGCCACCAAAACACTTAACCTGAAGAATGGGGTCTACAGAAGGTAAACCCTTAAAGAAGCGGGTTACACCCAAGTCATCTTCATGCTTTGTGATCTAAGGGAAGCTTCCCTCAGTCAGGATCTTGTAATGACAGGACTCAACTGGCTCAGTACGACACTAGCTGCCCCAGGTCACCACTCACTGACAAAGGCCACAGTGACCACCACTCCCCACACCCTCCTCCTGATACTCCTGAAACAGCTGAGCACCTCAGTAAAGATTAACATCAGGCTGAGTGCGGTGGAACACACCTATAATCCCAGTGGCTTGGGAGGCTGAGGCAAGAGGATTGTGAGTTCAAATCCAACCTCAGCAATTTAGGGAGGCCCTAAGGAATTCAGTGAGACCCTATCTCTAAATAAATACAAAAAGGCCTGGGGATGTGGCTCAGTTGGTTAAGCACCCCTGGGTTCAATCCTTGGTATCAAAAAAAAAAAAAAGATTCATATCAGCAAGGATATAGCTTTCCTCTCTTGGCCTAAGGGACTTATTGAAAAATACTCAAACAGAGCTATGAAGAACCAGCTACTGACCAATCTTGGGCCAAATGGCAGGCTTATAAAGAACTTAACCTAATTCTACCAAATGTGAGTCAGCAAGGGTCTTACTTATGCAGAAATAACAGGTAAAGAAAAGGGCATAAAAGAAAGAATAGAAAATAGAAAGCAGGGAGAGAGAAATATTAACATGCAAAAGGTGCATGCACACAACTGATACAGAAAAACCACAGTAAATTGCAGCTGAAATTGCAAGTTTTTCACCCTCTCATAGTAGTCAAGTGTGTGAACTGGGTGGGATG